AAGGAATCCAAAGAGGACCACACCAAGACACATCATAATTAAAATGCCAAGAGCAAAAGATAAAGAGAGAATCTTAAAAACAGCAAGAGAAAGAAACTCAGTTACCTACAAGGGAATACCCATACGACTGTCAGCTGATTTCTCAACAGAAACTTTGCAGGCCAGAAGGGAGTGGCAAGAAATATTCAAAGTGATGAATGCCAAGAACCTACAACCAAGATTACTTTATCCAGCAAAGCTATCATTCAGAATTGAAGGTCAGATAAAGAGCTTCACAGATAAGGAAAAGCTAAAGGAGTTCATCACCACCAAACCAGGATTATATGAAATGCTGAAAGGTATCCTTTAAGAAGAGGAAGAGGAAGAAAAAGGTAAAGATACAAATTATGAACAACAAATATGCATCTATCAACAAGTGAATCTAAGAATCAAGTGAATAAATAATCTGATGAACAGAATGAACTGTTGATTATAATAGAATCAGGGACATAGAAAGGGAATGGACTGACTATTCCTGGGGGGGAAAGGGGTGTGGGAGATTCGGGAAGAGACTGGACAAAAATCGTGCACCTATGGATGAGGACAGTGGGTGGGGAGTGAGGGCGGAGGGTGGGGCGGGAACTGGGAGGAGGGGAGTTATGGGGGGAAAAAAAAGAGGAACAAATGTAATAATCTGAACAATAAAGATTTAATTAAAAAAAAAAAAAAAGACACAACAAAATGGAAAAATAGCCCATGGTCATGGATTGGAAGAATCAACATAGTTAAAGATTCACTGTAATCTACATCAAAATCCCAATGTCATTTTTTGAAGAAATAGAACGAGAATTCATCAGATTTGTATGGAAACAAAAGAGCCTAAATAGCCAAAGTAAACCTGAGGAAAAAAAGAATGAAGCTGGAGGTATCACGCTACCTGACTTCAAATTATACTACAAAGCTATGATAATCAAAACAGTATGTTACTGCAGAGAAACAGACACACAGATCAATGGAACAGAATAGAAAGCCCAGCTATAAAACCATATGTTTAGACAAAGAGAGAATTTTCAACAAAGGAGTCAGAAACACGCAGTGAAGTAAAGATAGTCTCGTCAATAAATGGGGCTGGGAAAACTGGAAAGCCACATGCAGAAGAATGAAACTGGATTGCAGTTTGTCCCCATGTACAAACATTAACTCAAAATGGATCAAAGACCTAAATATAAGACCTGAAACAATAGTTGCATAGATGAAAATATAGGTACCAAACTTATAGGCCTTGGTCATAGAGAACATTTTATGAACTTGACCCCAAAGGCAAGGAAAGTAAAGGCAGAAATAAATGAACGGGACTGTATCAAACTAAAAAGCTTCTTCACAGCCAAAGAAACTGATAACAAAACAAACAGGCAGCCAACCAGATGGGAGATGATATTTGCAAACAGTAGCTCCAACAAAAGTTTAATTTCCAAAATAAATAAAGAACTCAAAGCTCAACACCAAAGAAGCAATTCAATCGAAAAGTGGGCAGAGGACCTGAAAATGCACCTCTCCCAAGAAGACGTACGGACAGCCAATAGATAGATGGAAAGATGTTCGGCCTCACTGGCACTCAGGGAAATGCAAATCAAAACTACAGTGAGATGCACCTCACACCTGTTAGAGCGCCCATTACCAACAAGACAAGCAACAACAAGTGCTGGAGGCTGTGAGAAGAGGGAACCCTCACTCACTGCTGGCGGGAATGCAGACGGTACAACCACTACGGAAAGCAGTCTGGCGATTCCTCAAAAAATTACTAGAGTTACCACACGACCCAGTGATCCCTTTCCTGGCTATAGACCAAAAGAACTCGAATCATTTATATGCAAAGATCTATGCACCCCTATGTTCATTGCAGCATTATTCACAGAGGCCAAGACGTGGAACCAGCCACAGTGCCTGCGACAGAGGACTGGACGAAGGGGCTGTGGGCCGCATGCGCAGGGAATACCACTCAGCCTGAGAAGGCGGGAACGGCGCACTCACAGCGGCACGGCGGGCCTTGCGAGCATCGTGCGCAGTGAAAGGAGGCAGAGGAAGTGAGGACCGTGCGGTGTCACTCCGATGCGGGACACACCGTGAAACAAACTCGTGAACGCCACAGCGTGAGGCGGCTGCCAGAGGCGGGGGTGGGGGCAGAAGGGGCCTGATATGAGGTGACAGGAGAACATGTGACTTCGGGTGGTGGGCACACGGTGCAACATACAGATCTTCTAGCACAGAAACCCACACCTGAATCCTATGTTCATGTTGACCAATGTCACCTAATCAATTGAACAAATATTAAAAAGTAAATAAGTAAAATAAACCGCCCAGTTTGTGGCACTCTGTTTTGGTGGCCCAGGGACACTCATGTTGGGGGAGGTGGATGTTTAGCATGTAGGTGGGGCGGACATGGGCTTGTCACCATGGAGACGGCGTCCTGTGCAGAGCTGTTAGGCACAAGGTGGGGCATGTGGTATGTGAAAACTGTGTACTTTCCCCGACTGCTGAGAAGGGAGGCTGAGGACATTCCTGAGGCTGAGTTTGCCGTGATGTTGTCCAAATGCCCATGTCCTGCCTGCATCTTACCTGAGCGTGTTCATTACTGACCTGGGGGAGTGACGCTGCCACTGATTCTGGACATCCCATGGCTGTCATTCCTGTGGCTGTCATTCCTGTGGCTGTCATTCCTGCAGCTGTCACTCCCATGGCTGTCACTCCCGTGGCTGTCACTCCCTGTCACTCCTGTGGCCGTCATCAGTTTCCCCTCCACCTGGCTGCCTCACACAGTTTGCCGTGATGTTTAAGCACTTACTATAGAAAACCTGAAACAGTTCCAAATTTAGAAAGAATCATCTAATAAACCCTTTTATGCCACACCCCAGCTTCAGTCGTCACCATGTTCCCCTTTGCAGACACCTATGCACATGGTAGTTTATCTTACTTGGCTGGCGTGCTTGAGAGCAGACATGTCCCCTCCTTGTACTCAGTCAGGCCACGGCATGACTGATAAAGATCTTACTAACAGAAGTGCCCAACCAGCAAATCCACAAGAACATTAGGGTCTCTAACACCCACGTCTGTTCAAATCCCCACCTGTCCCAAGGGTGCCTTCCAGGCAGGCGGTGGAGGCGGGTCTAAGTAGGCCGGCTGCTCTGGCTGTGTCTCTCGGAGTGCTGAGTGCTGATTACGGGGCCAGAGGCCCTTTCTTCGCCCCCCCCCCTTCCCCCTGCCCCCCTTGCTATTGACTCGTCAGAGAAACCAGGTCACTGGTTAGAAAGACCCACGTTCGGACTTGCTTTCTCAGCTTGTCCATTAGCTCCCCCAGAATCCTGTGCAATGGGAGCCAGACTTCAAGGTCTGATTGGCTCAGGGGAAGCAGTTTCCGGCGGTGCCTCTCTGTGCACTCACGCTGCTGGGCATTGGGTTTCTCCCCTCGGTCCCTGAGACTGAGCGGTGGCTGTGAGCGACGTCGGTGAGGCCACCGTGAGTCCCCCCACGCCCCCGGGTTGAGGCCGGTGGCCTGGCCTGTGACCTCGTCAGAGGCTGAAAGTGACGGCCTTCCTCCGTCTGTCGTTCATTTGCATTCTGGCCCTTGAGGACCACGGGCAGACCCTACACTTTCCGGGCCACCATGGTTCCACCAGAGTCCAGTTCGCACTGAGTCGGATCCCACGTCATTTAATCCCTTCCTCCCTGAGTCCCAGGAGGGGAGGGAGGGTGACCTGCTCTGTCACTGCAGTCTCCAACCCTGGGGGTCCTTGGTTCTGAGTCCTCTCCCCGTCTCCCCAGCACTGCGCCCCCTGTGCTTGAGGACAGGAGGGAGGGACCAGGCAGGTCCTTCCTGATGAGCAGCACTCCTGGTCCGGGTGCCTCGCTGTCTTCTGCTCTTGGCTGTGGTGAGGACGCTCCCCTGCGGTCTGCCCACGGCCCTGCCATTTCTGCGCGCTCTGGGCGAAGTATGAGAAGCATGACCTCGTTGGACCTGGCGTCTCCCAGGGCAAGACCGAAGCCTCTGCTCCCGCCTCCAGCCCTGCTCCTGCAGGACCAGGAGCCCGGGGCCCTCTGCACCCCAGGGCTTGGCCCCATTCCCTCCCGAGTCACCACACTCGGGCTCCTTCTTGCCCCTCAAGCTCGGGGCCCTTCTGCGAACCTGCCCGGGCAGCTTCCTCTAGGGCGGCCCAGGGTGGCAGGGGTAACTCTCTCCTGAGCCCCCTCGCTGTGCTCAGCTCCGGGCCACCAGGTGGGCATGGGCTGCTCTGTGGTCCTGCCAGGTCCCCGATGGGGGAGAGGCGCTCTCTGGCTGGTGGTTCTCCTGGAACCCACCCTGGCCCAGGCTTGGCATTCAGGAGGAGCGAGGGTGGTGTCCTGGGAAGGGCAGAGGAGGGAGCGCTCCCCACTGAGAGCAGCCCCCCCAGAGATCCCCACAAAGCCTGTGTGAGGGGGCCGTGGGGAACAGGCCGGCCTGGCTGCCTCCTGGGAGGTTCTGGAGATGAGTAAACTCCGCGGGGCATTCATGCCTCTTGTTCTCGGATGATGCCCAAGGCAACAGCCAAAATCCCACTGACACCTCGTTCCATAACCCACAGGGTCCTGGCCGCCTGCGTTGTCCCTGAGACAATCCCGAAGCACCTGCAGTTTCCCGTCAGGCTCTGGGTTGAGCCTGGGAAATCTTAACATTGGCACTAAAATGCGGGGACAGGGTCGGAGCCTGGGGGTGAGTGGCGCCAGGAAGCGGGTCCCTCCTGCCCGTAGACAAGCACAGACAGAAAACCACTCTGCCTCCCCGGGGCCTGGCCTGGTTTCCCAGGAGCAGGAATGGGGACAGGAGGGGGGAGGGCTAAGCAGAGGAAGAAGGGGGTGCGAGCACGGACATGCCTGGCTTCCACTCTGGGCTCCCATGGACACGGGGGACAGTAAGGGGCGGGACCCTTGGGGGGCGGGACTTAGAGCCTGGGGCGAGCCTGCCAGGCAGCCAGCATTCCTGAGCGGGACACAGGCTCTGAGAGCTTTGAAGCATATTCCGCTCTGGCTCCAGCTGGCCTTGCTCCCCACACCAGACCCCTGGACCCAAGAAGCGCAGCTCAGCTCCTTACCCAGCGCAGAGGTGGGAGCAGCGTCCTCCGGGGGAGCCGGGCTCGCAGGTGAGTGCTGATCACCTGGCCTTCGGTCCACAGAGCGGCTGCCTAGCTTCTCCTGTGTCCTCGCTCGTCCTCCCTCGTCCTGACCTTATCTTGCCACCACGGTACTATCACTATCGATGGAAACCCACTCACCCCGGGCTCCAGCGGGGAGACCTGTCCCTGCCCTCACTGCCAGGAGACCCGAACAGGGAGAAGTCGCCCTGGGCTTGGTCCTCAGGGTCCAGAGGGAGGAGGGGGGCGGTTCTGGGAAGACGAGAGGCTGAGGCCGCCCGAGGACAGTGTCAGGCCCGGGGGGCGGGCAGCACCTGGACCAGCAGGTCCCACTCTTTGCACGTTGGAAAGTGATTGTTCCGATTCGGCCCCCAAGTCACCAGCCTGAAATCTCCCTCCCACGGGACCCCGTCCCTCCCAGAGCGGCTGGCACGGGCCGTTACAGGCCACGGACCTGCGCATGTGAGTGAGTGAACGGAAGGGAGCCCTGAGCAGGACACCAAGGAAGGCAGGCGGCACTCCCGTGGGTGGCGATGCCGTCTCCACAGACAGCCTTGCCTTTCTTTCCCCAGAGTCCTGTGTGCTTCCCCTGATCTTACAGCAGGTCCTGGGGGGGGGGGGGGGGGGGCGGGGGGCTCCATCTACCACGTATTTCTGGGCAGAGGGTGGCTCAGAGGAGCGACTGTCCCTCCGTCCTCTGGGTCCCTGGCATCTCATTCACCACAGAGCAGACTCCCAACAGTGCGCCTCCACCTCACAGGCAGGCAGCGCGGCTCAGACCCCTGGGAGAGACCAGGCCAGGCGCCCACTCGCTGTGTCGGGGCCTCCGCTCGCCTGCGAGAGCATGAAGGGGACGGAGCGGCACATGGCCAGGAGGCCGCTGCATAAGCAGCTGGATTGGGAGAGGAAGCATGCCAGGCAGGCCGAGGCCAGGCTCAGCCAGCATCTGCAGAGACTCGAGCAGGCCCACCTGTGCCACCTGAGGCTGCTGGCCTGGGAGCAGCGGCAGCTGCAGAAACAGCTGCAGAGGCTGCAGCACGGTAACCCCGGGGGTGGGTGGGGGGGCGGGGCGGGGCCGGGGGCGGGGCGGGGCCAGCCCTCGCAGCTCCTGGAGCGCCCACCCCTGACCTCCGGCTGAGGCCAGGCCCTCTTTCAATTCTCTCTCCTGCTCGAGCCCTTGGTCCCCTGCTTCCTCGCTTTGCTTTTATTCTACTCTCCCTTCGCGCCCCTTCGAGTGGGTTTCACCTCTTTTCCATGCCGGGTCCGTACCACTCAGCGCAGCGATGAGCATGAGGGCACCTTAGGGAAGGGCTCAAACCTGAACCCCAGGGTTCGGCCCCGCTGAGCAGACGGGGGGGGGGGGGGGGGGGGGGGGGCAAGCTTTCCCAGCTCTGCCCACCGCCCGGCCGCCCTGGGACACTTCGACGCCCTGCACCACGTCCACTCCGGGCTTTCTCGCTCCTCTTAAGCCAAAGGGCAAGTGCTCTGTCAACCCCCGGAGGCCTCTTCACCTAGAGGCGTGCGCTGGGGTCTCCAGTCACTCCTCCCACAGGCCGGTGTCCCGGGCACTGCCCTCCAGGCACGCACTGAGAACCCGCCAGCCCCGACTGTGTGGGCGAGAGTCACAACGAGAGTAGCCTTAACTCGTCCTAGTGAGCAGTCCCTGGTCACCACGGGGGGGTGGGGGGCGGAGGGGGCACCGTGTGTGCAGAGCCCAGGCTCCCGCAGGCCCCACCTTGGTCCATGGACCCAGCCCAGCCTCCGGCTGAAACCCTCACTCCGTCACTTATTCCCTTGAGGCTCGAGCGGCTACTGCACCTGCCAGTGCCTCCATTTCCTCAAATGTAAATGGGAGAGGTGGCACCTACGGGGGAAGTCACCTCGATTCTGCGAGCACTTGGCGCAGCCCCTGAACGCAAAATGAGATCTAGCAAGTGACAGCTCGCCAGCCAGTCAGGAAAGGGTTGCTCAGGGGGCTCCGTGAACGGCTGGGTTTTAAGATCATCCCATAATTCAGCACAGACCCTCACCTCTTCGAAGCCACACTCATTCTGCCAGGCAGGTGCCAGCCAAGCCCGAGAACCATGCCTTTAGGGCGCCAGGTGTCCCACCGGGTCAGCTCCTTGGGCCTCACAGCTGAGGGGCACACGGAGCCACGCGTGGCGCCTGCACGTCGCAGGTGAAGGTGGTCACGGGCAACCAGCCTTCTCTGCTTCCCACTGCCCTGTCTGCGGCAAGTAAGCTGCGCCCTGGGCAGGGCGAGGCCCTCGGCTGAGCCCAGGGCCTCCAGGGGGAGGTGCCGGCAGCCGAAGTGGGTGCCTGGCCCGCGGCTCAGGGGCAGGGAAGAGGCAGAGGACAACGATGAGGCCTCCGACTCTGTCCTTTGAAAAGGGGGTCCTCTCTGAGCCTCAGATTTCTTGACCGTGGGTTCGGGGAACGGAAGGAAAGGTGCAGTGAGTCTCCATGTCCGCTGGGCGCTGCGCCTGCCTCACTTACCACAACCGCGTGGAGCCTCGGGCGCCCAGGGCTGTGTGCACACGCATCCCGCTCGGCCAGAGTCTGGAGCCGCAGGGTAGGGGTTTGCAGACTATTCTGGGACAGGGGTCTGGGGACCAGAGCACAGACACTGTCTCGGCTGCTCCTATGGAGGCAGAAATGCCAAGGAGAAAGCCGACTGCGGGCCCACGCCCACCAGGCGCTCGCCTCGGCACTGCGAGGTCGCTGCCTGAGAGCTGAGGACGGACCTGTTCGCTGCTCAGGGGGCGCTCCCAGGGAGGCGGGAGCAGCCAGGCCCTGTGTCTGTCAGGGAAGGCCTCCCAAGGAGGCAGCATGCAAGCCCAGCTGGAGGAGACGAGAGGCCGGGACAAGGGTGCGTGCAGGGTGCACACGGGCCCACTGGCCGCCAGGAGCTCGGGCTGCAGGAGGCTGAAAGCAGGAAGGGGCCGGAGAGTGGAAACCCCAGCCTGAGGGTTGGCAGTGGAGCGGTGACCTGTCCTACAGTCAGAGGGCGAGGGGAGGCCTCGCGGCGTGAAGACCTAACGCAGGGCGTTGGCAGGTGAGGGAAGGAGCATCTTGAGATACTGAGAAGGTGGGACTGTCAGTCAAGAGGATGCCTCCTGGCACAGCGGGCAGGCATGCTCAGCCGGACGCTGGCTGGCGGCAGGCCACGCCTTCACAGAGAAGCTCCGAAAGGTTAAGCGTCGGGGAAAAGCTATGCTCCTTTCTGAACCTGTCCGCTCTGAGGGTCTCAAATTGCTGACACACTAACCACTGAGCCCCGGCCAGGGCTGGGAGAAGCTCCAGATCTCAGTGTAGAGGGAGTCAGTGAAGTTCTCACATGGAAAAGACACACAGACACACACACACAGACACACACATATCCACATATACACATGTGCACAGTGCACACTCAGACGCACATATGCACACACAGAGACACACACATGCACAGACACGCACACATATACACATGCACACTCAGGCACACATGTGCACACGCATGCACACGCATGCACACGCATGCACACACATATATACACAGGCACACATACACATGCACACACATATACACATGCACACAGAGACACACATATGCACACACATATACACATGCACACTCAGACACACATATGCACACACACATACACCTGCACACACACAGACACACACACGAAAGGCAACAGAGGACGCGGGGCCCACACAGGACTCCCTGGTCTGCGTGCCCCCAGAGGAGTGCAGGGACGGTTGGAGGCGTCAGGTGTGGCTCTCAGGCCCCGTCTGGTCCTGCTCCCTCTGCCGGGTGCCCCAACCACCATGTCCACTCAGGGAGCCCAGAGACCGAGCCAACCCCGTGGCCACCAGGGAGGTGTGTGGAGACGCGGGTTCCCTGCAGCTTCTGTGATGGCGCGGGGGTGAGACGGAGCCGGGGGGGGAGCCACTCGCCCGGGCATGGGGCTGAGACAGAGCCCAGGAGGAGCCTGCTTGGCGGGAGGGGCCATGACAGCGGGGAGGAGACAGCAGCACCCTCTCTGGCTGTCACTCACACCGAGATGATTCGGTTCAGCAAACACCCTGCTCCACAAGGAAATGCTCACACAAAGCCTCCAGGGCAGAGTTGACGCCTCTGATGCCGATTCCTAAATCCTCAGGACACGCTCCAGCCGGGGGTGGGCATCGCCGCGGCCCCAGGAGGCTGTGACATCACAGGGCCTGACCGGCCCAGGCATGTGGAGGAGGTAAAGAAATGTTTGACCAAATACAGCAGGCGAATGTGCAAGCGAAGAGGAGAGCTTTGTGTGGCCCGAGATGAAGCTATAAATATCCACATGGCCGTTGACAGAAGGTCGCCACCCACTCGAGGCAAACGGGCGGACGCCTGGTGCCGTAGGGTCCATCGGAGGTCCCGGGGTGGTGGTCATGGCCCAGGCACAGACGCTTCAGCTTCTCTTCCTTCCTCCCGCACTGCCCTGGGCCTGGGCGTCCTACCCAGCCCTGGCTTAAAAACAGTCACGGCCCGCCCTGGAGCCCAGGCAACCTCCAGGCGTCCTCCCGCTTGTGTCCCCTCCTGTCTCCCCTCACGTCTCCCCCTCGGGTGTCTGCGTCCGATCTCCCCGTGTGATGGACACCAGTCCCGTGCGACTAGGGACCCTGGTGCCCTCATGTGGCCCGAGCGCCTCTGTAAGGCCCTCCCACCAACGGCCACAGGCTGCCCAGGGTCAGGGCTGCGAGGGATCGGTGTGGGACACAATTCAACCCATGACAGGTACGCACTTCCTCCCAGCAGACCGCAAGGGCAAGTGCCCCTTCTCCCCCGGGAACCGAGTTCGGCAGAGACCAGGAGGCGCCCCCGAGCGCCCGCAGCAGGGAGGGGACCTCGGGACCCCCCGGGCCACTGGAGCCAGGTGAGCCCTTCCGCACCCGCCTGGGCACCCACCCACCTCCTCCCGCTGTCCCTGCCAGGGCCCCTCCCTGAGGAAACGCCGCCTCTGGGCAGCACGCCCCCTCCCCCCGCCCCATGGCCTGGCTGACACCCCATGTGGGGCCGTGGTGCAATCACTTGGAAATTCAACATATGGGCATCTTCATGGGCTTCAGAGAACCTTCCTCTTCTCACCCCTCCCAGAGCCCTGGCCACCAACACAGCCCAGGAAACACATCGGGCCCGGCCCCAGGGGCCTCCTTCCCACCGCGATGGCCTCAAGGGCCCCACGAGAAGCAAAGAGCAGTCACCGCCTCAAATCCAGGTGACCTCCCCCCTCGCAGGGGAGATGCCGCCCGACCCAGCCGCCGCCACCTGCTCCACAGCCCCCTGCCCCGGGGACAGCCCAGCCGGTGATGGGGTCCTCGGCGAGGCCAGACCGGTGGCCACAGGCCTGCAGCCCGACCTCCACGCCAGGGAGCACATGTCCCCGGGGGCCCCCTCCTTCCGCGAGGTGTTGGCAAGGGCCGCCAACGCCCACTACCTGCGGCACCGGGTGCCTCCCGAGGCTGAGCGGCTGCTCAGCATGGGGGAGATATTTGGGCACGGGGGTCCCGGGACCCAGCACAGGGCACCTGGAGGTCACCTCTCCAACCCTCCCGAGCCCTCAGAGTAACACATCAGCCACTAGAGAAATGTGCGCAATTTTATTTTCAACCGTTTCCCCCTTTCCCCGAATCTGCAAGGCCAGTTGATGAAAATCGAGGGGAGGGGAGTCTCCTGGGAACCAGTAAGTGATGCACCCGCACCCCCGGTTAAGGTCTCAAAAATAGGACTCTGCCTTGAAGAGATGGTGCCGCCCGTTCTGACACTTGTGGCGCCACCTGCTGGCCAGAGGGCACCGCCCTGGGTCCTGGGCCCCTGAGGGTTGGGCTTGCGGCCTGTGCAGACCATCTCCCTCCCATTTAGGTTTCCTGTTCCCACCTTCCACCTGCTCACATCAAACTGGCAACCTAATCAACAGCTGGCAGCAGTGTGCTCCCGCCAGCATCTCCTGCCCAGCCAAACGGGGGCAGGTGGCAGCCCAGGGCGGCTCAGATGACCAACATGAACTCACGGGCCATGGTGGAGGCCGCGCCAGGACAGAGGCTGCGTGCACACCGCCCAGCCCGCCATCTGTGCCTCTGTCTCTTCCCCATTTTGTGTGGGTGTTTCTCCTGCGGCCAGAGCCAGAGGCCAGGGGCCAGGCCAAGGCAGCCGGAGCGTGGCCGCTGCTGGGCCGTAGACGGGAACACACACTGCGCACTCCCCACACCGTGCCGTCTCCACTCCTGTGGGTGAGCCCTGCTGCAGCCCTCCACCCGTTGTGTCCAGACATTTCACGTGGTGCCACCCCGTGCCTGACCTGTAGCATCTGAGCCGTGACATCCCACCGTCTCTAATAAAAACTTCGTTGTCATCGGTCCAGAAAACGCTTCTTTGCCTCGCGCACATTATGGCGCTCAATGCTCACCCTCCCATGGGCAGAGGAAGCAGACAACCCGCCCCCTGCACTCAGGGACCGGGGTGTCCGCCAGGCGCTACTGCCCAAGCCAGCCCTGCCCTCGGGCCCGCCTCACCCTCACTCCACAGGGAGGATCCAGTCCTCATTTTTGCCTATAGAATGTCCAACTTTATTGAAAATATCTTTAGCAACAAAATTAGAGAGATTATAATAAAAATTTCATACTTCAAAATGTATAGAAATTATATTTAAATATAATTTTTCACTGTTATTGACTCATCCAAAACGTCACTCACTTTATTGTGTCCCAGGTGTTGGTTATATTTAGGGTAAAAACATCTAAGCATTTCAGCATTTTGTCTTCATGTCATGGAAACAAAGTCTGAATTAACTTCCGACCACTGCCTCTGACCACTGCCAACACCAGCAATAGCTCAGCTGGAAAATTTTATTGAAACACAAAATGTGAGTGAATCATTCTTGCCCAAGTTTACATCCATTAAAGCATGGGCATGAAAATGTGTTGGTCAGTAATGAACAGATTTGCAGATGGTGTTAAGAGCCAGGCCCATGGTAACATGGACTGACCTCAACGTCAAGATGACGCTTTTAAAATATGGTAAGAAAGCCCAGCGGTGTGGCTAAGTGGTTGAGCGCTGACCCACGAACCAGGATGTCACGTTTCGATTCCTGGTCAAGGTCAGGGCGCATGCCCAGGTTGCAGGCTGAGTCCCTAGGAGGGGGCATGCAGGAGGCAGCCAACTGATGATTCTCTCTCATCATCTTTATCTCCCTCTCCTTTCCTCTATGAAATCAATAAAAATATACTTTTAAATTGTCACCTTAAATTTAAAAAAATTGTAAGAAATAATTGAGGCGGCCGCAGCACACTAGTTCTTTAGTTCCTGCGACAGCCAGGTGGCACCTGAAGGAGAGGCCAGGCTGGAGCGTGGGGCTGGTAGGAGCAGTGGGAAGGTTAAGGGAAAGGCCTAAGAAAATGCTCCCGGGACAAGGGCACAGCTAAGCCTGTCACTCAGAGTGGCCGTGTCCCCGCCAGGACCGGCCAACAGGAGGACCCGTGTGCCCACATGTTGGCTTCTCGAGGCCAGGCCTGGCCCGGAGCCCGGCTGGGGCTCCAGCTGGTGGTGGACAGGAGGTGGCGGCGGGGCTCTGGCTGAGCTGGGTGGGCCACCACTCTGGAGAACAGCCAAGTGACTTTCACTTGTGAACCTTTTCCACGAGCACACACGGCCTTGGAGAGAATGCCGGACAGAAGGGAGACGGAGAGTTCACTTCACCACAAACACCATCCCCCGCGCCAGGGGCCCGGCACAGAGGACAGAGGGCGCGTGCTCCAGCCACCGCCGCTCTGCTAGTCAGTGCTCAGCAGGGTGGCCCGCAGGTGCCTCTCCAGCTCCAGGAGGCTCCGGTAAAACTTCTCAGCAGTGTCGTCGTCGAGGTCCATCTGGAAGGGAACCGGAAACAGTGGTGGGGAACGACACGAACGCTCTGGGAACAGGCGGGCGCTCGCCCGATGTGGAGAACTGAGGCGGCCACGGGGAACGGCCGGAGCCGCCCCGGGACAGCGGGCAGCCTACCTTCTCCGTCGTCACGTAGTTGCTCCCGAAGCCGGTGGTGGCGCTCAGGTACTTGGTCAGAGGGTTGAGGGACTCGGGCTTCTGGCGGAAGAGCCACACCTGGAAAGGAAGAGGGCGCGGGGCGGTCGGGCCGAGGGTGCAGCCGGTGGGGACTTGGACTAGAAGTCCTCTCGACCAGCTTGCTGTCACGGCTCCACGACCCGCTGCTGGGACTTGAAGGGAGAGGGCGGCCTGCTTGACGGCATCCTTTGAAAAGCACCTGAAGCAAAAGCCTCTTCTCTTAATCCCCAAATTAAAGCTCATGGCGCCCCGCTCACCAGGTAACTCACAGAATCAGCGGTCGCCTCAGTGACAGACAAGCACCGGCACTCCACCGGGAGCCCCCTTCCCGCCGCGCCTCCTCTCGGTCCCCTCCTCTCCGTCCCCTCTCGGGAAGCAAAGGCAACCAGCATCTCGTGTTCACCCACGAGCACGTGTCTGCTGGAAGCGGGGCTTCTGCTCGCCCTGACAGGGAAGCAGGACCCCACACTCCGCAAGCATCTGCAGACATTTTCATCAGGGTGAGCGGGTCTGTTTCATTCTCTTTCTAAGCAGCCGGCATTCCACAATCTATATAACCAGTTTCCAATGGACGGACATACAGGTCTTTGCCGTCACAGCCGCGCTGTGATGAGGGACAGTCCAGCGTTACCTGGAGTCTGAGCACACAGAGACGATAAACACCGAAGCCGGAATGGCTGGGTTTGCGCACTGACCGTGTTCACTTTCCTGCGGGGTCCACCGACCCCAGCCCAGAGCCAACATCGTGAACTCCCTCATCTCTGCCACTCGGAGCTGGAAGCTTCACTGTGACTTTGGTTTGCATTTCTCAGTGTAAGACTGGGCGTCTCTTCCTACGATTAAGGCAGTTTAAAGTTCTGTTGGTGGTCTTTGCCCCTTGTCCTGAAGGAGCGCTGGGGAGTGAGGGACAGACACACAGAGAGTGACCAAGTGGGGGACTTCACCCAGACGGTGCGGCCAGCGGGCCCTGACCCAGCAGTAGAGGACCCTGGGGACGTCCTGCGTGTCCGACAGAAACGATGACCGTGAGCCATTAGCAGCCCCGGCCCCAGCGAGGGAGCGCGGCAGCCCCGGCCGGAGCGCAGTAAGTAAACGCGCTGGTTTCCCAACAGTAACAGCTCGGCTCCGATGTGAATGGAGGAAGGAGCATCTCTGTCCCAGGAAGTGGCCTGGGCTTTGCTGCCGCTAGGCTGACCCACAGGTGACCTCCCCGGGAAGCCCGCGTGCCGGCCACCATCGCCCTGGGGCCCTCACCTACCAGGGCCTCGGCTCCATTGTACGGCGTCAAGGTGAAAGCGTTTGCAAAGAATCGAAGCTGACGGAGAGAAAACAGGCGTCATTCCGTGGGGGTTTAGAACAAGGCCCCAAAAGCAGCATTCATCACACATTTAAAGAAAACCTGCACTTCTTCTCCCTGAACATTTAAGTGTCGAAGTAAAAGAAATCTAAAACAGAAATGGCACTTAATCCCCCACTCTAGGCCAGCCCCTGGAGTGCGGAGGCGTATTCCTCCTGCCTCTTCGCGCCTGGTGACGGAGGGCGTTTTCTGAGCTCCACATGGAAGGACAGTCCCTAAAAGGAGCCTTTTTAGTGGCTGAAGGCACTTCTGCGAGAAACGCTCAAAACACAAACCAGAAGCGCTGACCTGGGGCTCCGGCCATGAGCGCACACGCGGCCTCCTGGGAGCTGTGTGCATGTGCACGTAACCACACCGAGCACGCGAGGAAGCCCGTAACCACCATGCAGCCAGGTTCCCACTCACACGGCCCTAGGGCTCCCGGGCCCACGGAGCACGCTCAGGGGAGCGCGCCCTCCCAGAGAAGGGACGGGCAGTGTGGCGTCAGCTGGGGGGAAGCAGAGGCTACTTGCCATGGACTTCAATCCTCCAAGGACGTGAGGTTCTGCCACCTCCCGATTCAATTTCTGAAATCCCTTCCCAGCCCTCACACACCCTTCAGTCCCGAGTGGAACAGCGGCATAAACAGAGAAAGGAAGCGCTGGGCGGGGCGCACTCACCAGCCATATGATCGGCATTATCAGTGTCCACACGAAGCGGGGCAGGATCCCGTAGGTCAGGTTGGTCAGCATGGTCCCCGGGCACACCACACTGGAGAACAGGCCCTGTGGGCGCAGGGGCGGCGGGCAGGGCTGAGCTCAGGGCGCAGGGACGGCGGGCAGGGCTGAGCTCGGGGCGCAGGGGCACAGGGACAGCGGGCAGGGCTGAGCTCGGGGCACAGGGACAGCGGGCAGGGCTGAGCTCGGGGCGCAGGGGCACAGGGACAGCGGGCAGGGCTGAGCGCGGGGCGCAGGGGCACAGGGACAGCGGGCAGGGCTGAGCTCGGGGCGCAGGGGCACAGGGACAGCGGGCAGGGCTGAGCTCGGGGCACAGGGGCACAGGGACAGCGGGCAGGGCTGAGCTCGGGGCACAGGGACAGCGGGTAGGGCTGAGCTCGGGGCGCAGGGGCACAGGGACAGCGGGCAGGGCTGAGCTCGGGGCACAGGGGCACAGGGACAGCGGGCAGGGCTGAGTTCGGGGCGCAGGAGCACAGGGACAATGGGCAGGGCTGAGCTCGGGGCGCCGGGGCACAGGGACAGCGGGCAGGGCTGAGCTCGGGGCGCAGGGACAGCGGGCAGGGCTGAGCTCGGGGCGCAGGAACAGCGGGCAGGGCTGAGCTCGGGGCACAGGGACAGTGGGCAGGGCTGAGCTCGGGGCGCAGGGGCACAGGGACAGCGGGCAGGGCTGAGCTCGGGGCACAGGGACAGCGGGCAGGGCTGAGTTCGGGGCACAGGAGCACAGGGACAATGGGCAGGGCTGAGCTCGGGGCGCCGGGGCGCAGGGACAGCGGGCAGGGCTGAGCTCAGGCGACAGGTACAGCGGACAGGGCTGAGCTCGGGGCGCAGGGGCACAGGTACAGTGGACAGGGCTGAGCTCAGGGTGCAGGGGCGGTGGGCATGGCTGAGCTCGGGGCGCAGGGGCGGCGGGCAGGGCTGAGCTCGGGGCGCTGACTCAGCCCCGGACATGCTGGTGAACCAAGGACACGCACCAACACGCCAGGACAGGCAGGAAAGGCCTCTGCTCTGAGGGGTCCTGGGCGCTGGGGAGACCCTGTCAGTGGAAGTTCGGGCGGAGGACCCACTGTGGGGGTTCTCAGGATGCAGAAAATTAATGAGACTGTCTCTAATCTCAAGCAACGCCCTGGATGAAGAGCAGCCAGACCTGAAGCTGGAGAAAGGGGCCTGGCACCTGAGTTTCCCGTGTTGCTGGGTCAGGTGCAGGTCAGCTTGTCAACCCTAAAAATCACTGGAGACAAAAAGACACACAGGACAGTCTCTGCGTCTGGGAACAGATGCGAACTGCTCTGTATGCCTGCCTCCCAGCAGGGGCACACACCCAGACTCCAGCTGCGGGTGGGGCGCTGGGCTCAGAGCAGAGGGCTGAGCGGCCCACAGAGACCCCGCCCCTGCAGGCCTCAGAGGGGGCCTCCGCCAGGACTCTTGTCCAGTCCAGCAACACAACTCGTGGACCAGAAGGGGGCGCTGTGCAGTCTGCCCCTGCAGAACCGGGACTTGCTTTACTAGTGAATCAGTTTAATTTTTTTTTTTTTAAATATATTTTATTGATTTTTCACAGAGAGGAAGGGAGAGAGATAGAGAGTTAGAAACATCGATGAGAGAGAAACATCGATCAGCTGCCCCTTGCACATCTCCCACTGGGGATGTGCCCGCAACCCAAGTACATGCCCCCGACCGGAATCGAACCCGGGACCTTTCAGTCCGCAGGCCGACGCTCTATCCACTGAGCCAAACCGGTTTCGGCGAATCAGTTTAATTTTTACTACATTTGACCTTCTTTGATATTGACCATTTCAACTCATTTTTATTACTTTTCATCTTATTTTTTAAACGCAACGCTGGAAGTACCAGTGTAACAGGCGGCCGTGCGGAGAAAGCACCTGCGAAGCTTGTTCTGCTCGGGGCGGTGAGGCTCCGGATGCACACTGATCCCCAGCCCCCGGGAGTCCTCCCGCTTACCAGGGGCCTGGACTCGCCAGCCTTACAGACCAACAATTCCTCCCAAGAAAGTCACGGTTTCCCCCGAGACAGCCAGGGACCTCTGTTCTGGGAGCCAGTCAGGCCCAGGCAGGGACTCGTCAGCCCTAAGTGAAGACGTCTGTGAACTAAACCTTGATGCTGAGCCACAACAGAAACACGCAGGGAGGGGCTCCACCACGACCACTGCCCACAGGGAACCACGGACCGCGAGGCCGGTGCTCTGGGTGCCGGGCACGTCACCACGGACGGCAGCTCAGCGGGAGCTGGTGGGCCCCAACGCGCACGCATCCCTCAGCTCTGGAGGGTGCAGTTCTTTCTTGGCTGCTTCTCTGAGCAAAAGCCAAGGCCACGCTGAGGCTGAGCCGCAGCACAGACCGGGCGGCAGCAGCCGCAGCTACGCCTCCCTTCTTTCTTTATCCTCATCCAAGGATATGTTTACTGGTTTTAGAGAGAGGGAGGGAGAGGGAAAGGGGGAGAGAGAGAGAAGCATCGATGTGAGAGAGGAACATTGATCAGTTGCCTCCTACATGCACCCTGACTGGGGATCGAACCCACATCCTAAGTGCATGTCCTGACTGGGGATCAAACCAGGACAGGATGAAGCACCAACCGACTGAGCCACACCGGCCAGAGCTGTACGATGAAATCCCAACCCTTACTGTGGGGTGGGGAACGTCTGGCCCTGGGGCCATAGGAGGCCCTCGTGATCATTGGGTCTGGCCCTGCCAAGGCAACCACAGGCTGGACTCGAAATTCCATCAATCTAGGAGCGTTTTTTCACAGTTACATCAATTCATGTTAAGGGAACTACAGGAAGTGAACGATGTTATAAATACCAGTGGCCCTTGGCAGAAAAGGCGCCCCACCCCTGCCTTACTTGCTTGACAACCAGACTTCACTAGCCCAGAGCTGTCCAAGGTCAGACAAGCCCTCCCACACTGACCTGCCCCCACAAGGGGGTCTGGGGACAAGCAGTTGTGACAAGCTATCATCTCAAGAAGCCAGAGGATCTCCATTGGACCAGCACACTGGGCTCAAACTGTAACACAGTAACAAGAATAACAACAGCCCACACACGCACGAGCACACACATGCAGACCATGTGCACACACCATACAAGCACACCCCTGTGCACACCCACAGGCACGCTGAGCACAAAGCACTGCTGACTGCTCCAGACCTGCCCTCGCTCCCCACCCAGGAGGCAGGAACTATTACTGTCCCTACTGGCCAGGTGAGGGAACTGAGGCCCGGGACTGAGCCAGGACCCATAGGTCCCGCTGCAGGCTCCCAGCTGCTACTTGTGCACAGCCTCACCACTAAGAGTCAGGACTCGCAGAGTGGGGCCCGCCCGACAGGCCTCCGCTCCAGGACAGAGCAGGTCCCAACCCTCCCGGGAGGCCAGCTGCTGTGTCTAATGCACCAAAGCTGCTCCCCTGCCCTGGCCAGTGCTCAGTGGTTAGTATCGGCTTCTGCACCAAAGGGTTGCAGGTTCAAGCCTCAGCCCTGATTGGGTGCTTATTGGAGGCAACCGATTGGATGCTTCTCGCTCACATTGATGTTTCCCTCTCTAAAAAAATAAATCAATTCCCCTCCCCCCATCCGCTCTAAAAAATAAAAACAATAAAAATCATGGAAAAAATCTCCGCTGGTGAGGATTAGCACCACCAACAAAAGCAGCTCCCCTACGGGCAGATGGTTTCACGGTCCTCTTGTAATTTCTCCCTCCTCTCCCACCCCAGGCCTGGTCCAGTGCCCTAAACATGGTAAGATTTTGTAAATATTAGTGGAATTAAATTGCTCCACAGCCTCACACCCCAACCACAGAAAAAGCCCCCAGGAAAACACCATGGGAACAACAGGAGATGTTAACGTTTGAGACACACAAGGACGCAGCAGGCCCCAGACCCCAAGGCTGCAGGCCCTAGCGTGACTGACAAGGGTGCCCTCCAACGAAACACCCTCGACACCCAGGGCGCGGACAGGCAGAGCGCGGGGCTCACCAAGGGCCACCACTCCCACTGGACACCAATATGAACACGGGGCAGCGGATGGCTTGAGGGGATCCAGGCCGCAAAGTCAGAAGGCTGGGTCCCACCCTGAGCTGCACCCCCACCAGTTCCTCACTTAACCTCTCCACATCCTCACAGGAAGGGGGACGCTGAGCCCGCTCCCTGGGACGGGAAAGGTATGAAAGACACAGGCAGAGAGAGGGCACCTACAGCACAGCGAGGGCTCGCAGCGCAGGTGCCGAGGCGCGGCTCTGCCCGAGAAATCGCGGCTGGCAGAAATACAGGGCGGCGCACGAACCCCTGTACCCTAGAAGTCAAGGTCTCGTTATCTCTGTCCCAAAACATGCCTAGACACCAACTATCGATCCCATGCAGGTCTCTGCCTTCCGCAGGGCAATCCTGCTCAAGAAACAACGCTGCGTCTTCTCGGCGGCCACGGTGAGCGCGAGCCCGGCCACGGTGAGCGCGAGGCTCAGACACCACGCCCCACCTGCGCCAGAGCCCGGCCTCACCCGCTGGTTGAAGTTCTTGTTCAAGGCCACACTCAGGAGGTCCAGCGCGTACTTGGAGGAGCTGTAGGGCTCCTGGCCTCTGCTGTGCTGGAAGTCCTCCAGGCTGAAGCTGGCCTTGCGGGCGCTGCGGGACGACGTCCAGATGAGCTGAGACGGGCTGTCACCGCGACCGAGGAGAGGGTCCAGCTCCCGAATCTGAGTGGGAAAAGGAACAAAAAGCGAACCAAGATCGACTGGGGAGGACGGGCAACAATGTGGAAACCACTGAAAGGTCTACTGTAACGGGGTAGGTTTGTCACTGGGAGGGGACACCACAGGTGAGCAGGGAGGGGCCCGAAGGCCCTTCGTGGTGCTGGATGAGAGTGAAGACAACAGCACGAACTCGTGTTCACATTCATTAAGGTGCGGATGGTGACATGTGGAAATATGTACAGCTGCGTGCACACATGTGGGTTGGTACACATACGCATCCCCTTGCTGCCAGCAGAGGGCCCAGAAGCACTGCTGCCTCAACAAGCACCACGTTCTGGTGTCTAACACCCGCTCCAATGAAAGGAACCAGGCTCCTTAGAGCAGTGGTTCTCAACCTTCTGGCCCTTTAAAAATGTACAGTTCCTCATGTTGTGACCCAACCATAAAATTATTTTCGTTGCTACTTCATAACTGTCATGTTGCTACTGTTATGAATTGTAATGTAAATATCTGATATGCAGGATGGTCTTAGGCGACTCCTGTGAAAGCGTCGTTCAACCACCAAAGGGGTCGCGACCCACAGGTTGAGAACCGCTGTCTTAGAGGCACGGCCTGTTCTAGGTCTAGGGCAGGGAACATACAGTGACCTTGAGGCATCTTAGTGTCAGCAAGGACGTGCTTAAAGCAGAAGCAAAGCCATTGTGATGAAGGCAGGTCCAAGACAGACCCAACGGAAACATCTGAGCAGAAACTCAAGACGCGTTTACAACCCGGGGCAGCAAGTACATCCTGTGTGCCCACGCAGGTGTCTGTCGGCACCAATGCTTTAATAAGCAAAAATGCCAGAGGAAGAGCTTATGAAAAGATAAGAGAAATATTAGATAATGATCTTGGTGAACTTATTTTTTAAATGACCAGATAGGAATTCAACCCATCCTGACTTTATATTTTAATTTTTGATTGAAAACTAGTATCATATTAAAAATAGTACGAAAGGATATAGAATGAAACATGAACTTCCCACTTATCCCCAAGGCCCTGGCAGCCAGTGTTCCCAATTTATATAATTCTAGAAATATTATATACATGTGCACGTACTTTGTAAAGATGTATCTTTACGCTATTTTGCTGTAAGAATCAAATCCTAGAGGCTATCCCACACCAATGCAAAACAGTCTTCATTTCTTTTCATGGTTTCATAATATTCAGTGTTTGTATGTACCTCAATTTATTATAAAATATAGGCTAGTCCTCAAGAAGGTGGTCCAATTTTCAGGGAAAACAGGCTCAACGTGCAGAAAAGTGACCATGAACCTAGCATCAGAGAAGCAGGTTGCACTGGCAAAGCCAGTGGCTGCCCCGAGCAATGGTCAGCCACTGGACACAGCCGGCGTGACAGTCTAGATGCTAATGTCACCCAAGAGATTAGCCTGAGGCCGGAGCATGGAGCAGGCTGGACAAGGCAGCTGTGCCGGAACCGCAGCGCACAGTGCGGGGCTCAAGAAACGGGCGACAAGAGATTAGCTGAGTCCCGTTCAGTAATGGCTTGCCTGCTCCCCTCCTCTCTGAGGCCAGCCTGGCTCTACGGACCACTGAGCATGATCTTCGAAGCCCTCTGTGTTCCTTTCTACTTTCTCTCTGCTCTCCAGAGCTGATGGCAAAAGGAAAAAGAATCTCTCAAGAGGCTGCTGCAGGGACCAATGTTTTCAGAGGAGCGTGAGGGTCCTATTTAAATACTCCCAACCCAACGCCAGCCCACACCGGTGAGCTTCACAAAGCAGAGCTATGGTGGCCCCAGCTTTCAGGACCCCAGTGCGGAGTGGAGGCCTGATGGCACTTACCAGGACAAAGTGGCCGAAGACATTGGTTGCGAAGACCTCCTGGAGGCCGTGGGCAGTGACCCTGTCGTCCTGGGTCAGCAGCCCCTCCGCGGTGGAGAACACGTGGATCACCTTTCTGAAACGGCAGAAGAGAACGGCGTGACTTTCCCACGTCCGGCAACCGGACCCTGAAGGGACGCTCCCTGTTGCCCTTCTGCCCCCAACCCATGTCTTTGCTTCTGTAACGCGGGAATGAACACACCTGTTTCTCAGACTGGGGGGCTGTGTCACATACAACGCAAGATGCCTCACATGCCACAGCCCGTGCGCCAACAGCCTCCGGGCCTCTAAGCCTGCTGAAGCCCTCGGCACCTCTTTCCAAACCAGATCACAGGTCCACGGGGACAACAGCGATGCCGAGGCGGAGGAGGGTCCCCCACACACTGAGGCGAATGCCCAACCAGCCAGGCGGCTGGTGCTCTCGCTGGTCATCCTTAGAGCACTGAGCCTCCTACCGCAGTGCCTGCTGCAAGGTCGGCGTGTCAGGGGAAGGCCAGTGTGGGACTGAGGTGTGTGTGTTTAGTGGCAGAGAGTGACACCAAAGTCTAGCAAGAACCTCTATGAGTAAGTAGGTGAGGCCGCAGGGCAAGAGTGCTTTCGTCCTGCAGGTTGGGCTCCAACATCTTTGAGAGCCACCGCACTGTACTGAGGCTCTCCAGGAGCCAGCGAGTTCCGTGCGCTTCCCGGCCCGCTGGTCAGAGCACCCGGCCCGAGGTGCCTCCTGGGGACTGAGTCCCGCAGCTGACCCACCTTCTTCTGGGCTCACCACAGACGTGTCGGACCCAGGACATGGAATCATGACACACAGCTTTCCCCAGAGACGAATGCTTTTCTTCCCTCCCGTCTTCATTCTTCTCAACACCCTTCTGCCACCCAACTTCACACGCCCAGGGCAAAACCAGGCCGAGGCAAACGCCTTGCTGGCAACCGACTGTCTGGGCACTGGCATTACCTTGAAAAGAGACTGGAGAGCACCGCTCCGATGTTCAGGTGCGGGCTGGGCATGATCCCGGCGTTCAGGTACACATAGTCTAACCGCTGAAACCTGCCGGCAAACACCAAGACAGGAAGGTCAGTCACGTGAGCGTTCTTTCTCGGATGTTGGCTTCACACAGGATCTGGGAGCTACAATGGACGGTGAGGCCAGACCTCTCTGATCAACACTCCTTCGCTTCGTCCCCCCGTTAGGCTCTGCAGCTACCCTGTCCATGAAACACCCCTCCTTTGGTCTAAGGAAGTTCTGGGCTTTATTTATTTTAGATTCACATCTTCCCTAGTTGACAAGTAAAATTTATGTAATAATAACATTCACCTAATCTGATCTGTCTGGACAGTCACAGACTCCGGAATCTGTATCACAACAACCATCGTTCCCTAAACCTGGGCAATACCACCCGTCTCTAAGAGCTGCTTGGAGAATTAAGGACAGCAGCACCGCACCAACGCTGTGGGCTGGGGGCGGCTCACTGATTGCCTTAAGCTAGGGCTAACTCACCAAGCATCTTACTTGATATAAATTGCTAACCTGCGGTAACTAATGTCCGCCCTGAAGAGCCAGGGAGGGGAGCTGGGTTCCAGGACCTGCCCAGCTTCAAGCCCTATGCCTCACGGGCACACTGCTCTCATCTCTTTATGCCGGTACCTGCTGACCTATTTAGCACCCAGCGAGCAAAGATGCAGAAAATGCTCTCAGGTGTCCAAGGCGCTCACTGAGTAAGGCGCCGGGCTGGCCGCCCGCCAGGGGCGCGCCTGGGTTACTCCTCATGAAATAAGCATGATCGCAGGGAATGAGGGCAGGACGCCGGTGCCACCGCAGGCCCTTCCTCGATGGCAGCTCCTGGCGGCACCACCACAGTGAGAAAGCCCGTCAGAGAGGCCCACCTGCGCCTGAGCTCCCTGGCGGCCCGCAGCACCGAGCGCAGGTCGGAGACGTCCACCTGCACGGTGCTCACCTGGGCGGAGGGCCGGGCGGCCAGCAGTGCGGCGCGCACGGCCTCGGCCCGGCCCGGGTTCCTGCACGCCAAGCACAGGTGCAGCCCGTCGTCCTCCTCCAGCAGCCGCTGGCACAGCGCTCGGCCGACGCCACTGGGTTAGACAGAAACGGAATTAACCACACGGTGCCCAGCACGCCTGTCTCCCCGGTCAGAGCCAGGCGGACAGGAAGGGGGGGCAGGCCCGCTGCGGGCCGGGCGCACGGGCCTCACCTGCTCGCCCCGGTGACCAGGACCACCTTCCTCATCTCCGCGCACCGACCGACAGCCCAGCAAGACCCGCGCAGCTCGGAGCCTCTCACGCCCGCCGCCCAATCAGAACTCGGTGACACAGGAATTCCACGCCCCATTCACGTCCTCCAATCATATCCCGAGCCCGGGGATGCCCCGCCTCCTCTGGCGTCACAGAGGGCGCTCTGGGCCCTCCAATCGCAGCCCGCCGTGTGCCCTCTGCTTCCGGGGACCAAGTGGGGTGAGATAGGCAGAGGGGCGGGGCCAAGGGACGCCAAGCCCCAGCCAATCCGCCCTCTGCCGCCACGCAGATGACCCCGCCTCCAGCCCTCCTGCCCCCACCCCATCGCACCCCGACCCCGTCCGCCCGGCAGCGGCTGCCCTCGGGGACCTCCCGACCCGCGCCGCGCTCGGACCGCGTCTCTGGCCGCGCGCCGGCGTCGGCGCCCCCCATCACGGGGAAGGTCGCCGGGGCGGCGGCGGAGGAGCTCCCCCATCACGGGGAGGCCGGTTTGGAGCTGGCGTGTGGCACTGCCCCCTGCTGGTCCCTCCTGACCTGAGCACCGGGCTGAGGGCCCCTTCACCGCCGCGCCCGCCCACTCCTCCTCCTCTAAGAAGTGCTCTTGGGGTGACTGATGTGGAAACAGGCAAGAATCGCCGGTTTTCAAACACGGGACTGGGCCGCAGCCGTCCGCCGGCACAGGACGGAGTGGGCACTCTGCAGCCTCCGGCCGCCCTCTGCGTGATGTCCGTCCCCCACCCCGTGGCCTCCTCTGGACGATGTCCGTCCCCCACTGAAGTATCCATCTTATATAAAAACTGCTGTTTGAAACTTTAACCCTGATAGTATGGCTTCTGTCTTAGATAATAAGGAAAGTAAGACTACTCCCATTCCAGTGAGGCGGTAAACTGCCCCAGACAGCTGTCAGTGCTGACAGGCCGGGCCTGGAGACACGGTCCCATGGCCCCTTCCCAGCAGGCAGGCCTTCTTTCTCAGAAGGCCCGGGAGTCTCATTCCAAATTTGGGAGACAGAGGACTGGGAAAAGTATAAATAGAGTTCCCGCCATATTGGGGGCCCAGAATTTGAAAGACACATTTTTCTCTGGGCCTGCACAGACTTTAATAATAAAATGTAACTCCTGTAGTCCACGTTGCTGTTCAGCCCTTGCTTCGGGAGGATGCTGCAACTGTAGTCGCTGGCCAGCTCAATAAAGGCTCCTAATCTTGATCTGAGTCCCTGGTGGCCGTCTCCGCCGGTCGCCCCATTACACCACCCGGGTGGCCTCGCTGGCAGAGCGTGCCCACCTTCTGCGGAACAATGGAGCGTGAACATACGCTCCAGGGCAGGCAGGAGGCGCTGTTTGGGTGGTTCCGTCCAAATCTGTTTCAGAGCCGGGTCAGTATTCGGTTGTTCAGGAGCTGTTGCTCTTTGTGTGTGTGGAGGGGGGGGGGGGGGAGACGGGGGAAAAACGGGGGGGGGGGTGACGGGGGAAAAACGGGGAGGGGTGACGGGGGGGGGAAGACGGGGGGGGGGGGAGCCCGGACAAACCCTGCTTGGATTTAGGAGGGACCTCTGTGAGCCAAGCAAGCAGTTTGGTGACAGTAAAGAGCCCCCATTAACCTCGGACTGTCTGACGGCACAGAACCCGGGCTCCTGGGTTTGGCTGTGCCAGGGACCGAGGTGCTTCTCTGCCAGCAAAGCGGGCTGGTCTGTGAGAAGCCCGGTCAGCAGCCCTCTGCTGAGCCCGCCCCACGAACCGGTCTACCCCCCGGCGCCCGGTGCTTCTCTGGGAAGGAGGCGAGGCCCCGGGGGAAGAGGGATAAGGCTCAAACCACCATCAGGCGCATATTTCTTTAATCATTGTTATTTACAGTTGACCATTATCAGACTTACAGAGAATAAATAAAGAAAAGAAAATATACAATTGGTATCTCGTTCTTTTTCTAATACAGAGAATTCTTACATGCTCTATTTTGGAATGACTACAATAGTTTTAAGCAGAAATTAAGTCAGTTTTCTCTTTACCCCTTGCCAAGCCACATGTCCCTCCAGAGTCCGCAGAGCAGCCCAGGTGTGCCCTCCCCCAGGAAGCCTGCTCCTCGCTGCAGCAGAAGCAGAGCCACCGGACGGACGGACGGACAGACAGACAACAGGGGAGTGGGATGGGCGGCGTGGATAGCGAAGGGCGGACGTGAGCAGCTAGACTGCGCACTCGGTGTGTTTGTAGGAACGCTCACAAGTTCTGTTAGTTCCCAGCCTCTTTTCAGGAAAACAAGTTTTCACTCGGAGTGATTGCCTACCCCACGGTGCCCTCCCTCAAACCTCGCAAACCCCCCTGTGCTGGTACCTGCGGGTCCCGAATGCCCGCGAGCTCGGCGAGCTCGGGCTGACGGGTCCTGCCCCTTTAGAGTCCTGGAGGTCATTGACCAGACATCGGCAAGACTTGTTTCCAAAGGGCTGACTTTGGGGCCAGAGTCTGGTGCCTGCTCTGGACGGGGTGCCTTATACAGAACGACCTTGAAATGCTGTCGAAAGACCTCAAAGAATAAGGCACACACAGGACATCCACCAGTGGGTCTGTTCTCCACCAGTAAGCTCTGGCCCTTTCTACTCTCTCCTCAAGTGAAAAACCCTCTATCTCACAGCAGAGCAATTCTCCCCAATTCACCACAGTCATGCAGTTGGACAAGTTTCTGTTTCTATATTTGATTCATTCAAAGACAACACTCAGTAAGCATGTACGGGGTGCCCAGCAGGCGAGTCTGGGCCAGGAACTTTACAGGATATGGGACGCAGTGGTAAACAAGTTACAATTTGGTGAGTCCTAAACAGGGCACTTCAGACACCGCCACAAACCTCGCAGCTGGGAGCCACAGAGCTGGAGCCCCAATACCAGCCACCCCTTCCCCTCCCCCCTGAAATTAGTATTTAATTTGGTCTAGTGTGGTTTATTTCATTTCAGAACAGATTAGTATTTAATTTGGTCTAGTGTGGTTTATTTCATTTCAGAACAGATATTCAGGCAAATGAAACCTCTACTATTCTGAAACTAGTTTATCACATTTAGGGTCTATTCCACTGTATTCTAGTCCTCCCACAAGGTGCCCTGGGGCCATAACTCGGTGCCACCTACTCCTTGACCAAAACACTGGTTCACTCTGGAGTGCTCTCTTTGCCACAATTATGATCCTTCCTTGCTGTAGAAACAGCAGGAACTGCCTGGATTTCCCTTCATACCTGACTAGAGGCCCGATGCACAAAATTCCCCGGCTGCCGGCACCAGCTTCCTTCTGGCACCTGGGACCCAGGCTTCCCTCACAGCCCTGGCTTCGTCCAGAAGGCCATCCAGAAAGACATCCGGTCTAATTAGCATATTACACTTTTATTATTATAGATTCTCTAGCCAGCAAACCCTGTCAGGTCTTCACTGTTCTCTGTGTTGCCTGATTCTTCCAAGTTGTTCTTGATGATTCCAGATGCTAAACAGCCAAGCAAAGTCAGCAGATGCGTGCACGTTCGCGGCCCAGGCAGGATAATGCTCGGTGATAAAGGAACAAGTGAGTTTGTTACATTCCCTTTAAGAGTTTGTACATTTGTATCCAGATGGTGTCTTTCTCGAGGCCTCCAAGCAAGGCCAGGTTACAAACCAGCAAGGGTTAGACCATCCAGAACAAACCAGTGCAGGTGAAGAGCTGGTGGAATCTGAGTGTGATCTGCGGTTGCGCTAATATGAGACCAATGTCCGTTTTCTGGCTTTGGAAAAGCGTGATGGTTCCGTAAGATGTTATCAGTGGGAAAGCCTGGTGTTAGGGTGAGGCCACTCTGTACTAGTTTTGCAACTTCTTGCCAGTTTTAAAATGTTTTGAAATAAGTAGTTTTAGAAACAATTGCCTACCAAGTAGTGCAGCTGATTGTAGCAGAGAAGTCAAAATGCCAGCAATCCAGTCCTCATTGATCATTCCAGCTTCTTCCCGTGTTGGGAAGCATTCCAATTCATTTACCAAGTGGAAAAGACATTCATTTGCTTCGTAAAAATGTTAAATTTCTGTTCAGGAGGATTTCCCAACATACACCAGGATCTGTAACTCCCAGAAGGATTCAGGGACCTGCCATTTGCCAGGCCACAGGTCAGAGGTCAGAGGTCTCACGGAAAAGGCGAAGAGGGCAGGACTACGCTAAATTCAACTTAGGATCAGGGACTTAGCAGTCCTATTTGAAGAATAATTTAAGGCTTAACTATAATTTTCTTCACTTTTTTTTATAGTTTTGGGCAAAGCAGATGCTACTCTGTTTTAGAATATTTCCTTGAAACTTCTTCCTCTTTCCCTCTTCTCTGTTCTCCTTTGACACAAAACACATGGTTGAGCTCCACTTCGTGCGGAAGCCTGGATGGAGGGAGAACGACACAGCGCTTCCACCCGCACCCACCTCTGCGTGGGTGTCAAATGAGACTGAGTCGACCGATCTAGAGCCTAATGCTTCCCTGTGTCTGTGGCCCTTCTGGGCCCAGCAGTGATCCCTTAACAGAAGCAAGAGATGGGTCGCAAAGCCGGCTGGTGGTCTGCCAGTTCCCCAGGCCCAGGTCTGCATCCCAGACAGCTCTTGGGAACCAGATCCACGGCGGGCTGAGCCGATGGGTTCGCAGCTGAGGTTACAGGCGCCCAGACCTCCGCCACCTGCTTCCTTGGGAATGAAAGGGCCTCCCTGCCGGGCACCGTGGGCCATGCCCACGAGGACCTTCTCTCTCAGAGGCTCTGCAAAGCTCCCTTCTGTTCACGCTGCCCCTGACGTCTCCTTTTTCATCATCCAGAATTCCTTCTCTCCATACATATCCTCCTTTCATCTTCACGACACTTACTTTTTCTGCCCTGACTAGTTCCGTCTCCAGAACAGAGTCTCACCCTCGCCGGAGTCTGTCCGGCTCCTGACCCTTCGCAGCCACCTATGCGAGGTCCGCTCTCCTTCCTGCGGCCTTTTCCTGCCACCGGCCTCCGCTCAGCCACACACACATTCATTCACCATCTGCCACCCCCTCCGTCCTGTGCTCCTCACACCTGGGGCACCTGCAGGCGATCCTGCCCCTGCGCTGACACCACAGCCCCCTCCGGCCTCCAGGCCAGTCCTTTCTGAGCAGGTGAGTCTGGGCCTAGCTCTCAGCACACTGACCCGCCTACACAGACATTCCGATCTGACTCCAAAACCACCACCTGGACGGAAAACGTTCCATATGCAGAATAAAGGTGACGTTTAGAAAGGCTAACAGGACGCAATGATGGTCTGCCAGCCACCTGGAGCCGATGACCTCTCTCGCCCACGGCCGGGGAACAGAGACACCCCACATTCCATCTAAATAGGACTGCTCTCTGCGGGGTCATGAAATGCAGGGGTTGAGGCGGGATGTGGGAAAGAAGCAGAGGAGAAAAGTTAGGCGCAGGACGGGAGAAATGCCGCCCTCCTGCCCCCAGCAGTCCTGGCAGGGCCGGCTGGGCCCCACTGGGGTCGTGCTCAAGTCCCTTGAATTCTAGAGAAACGTGATGACTGATCTTATCTGCTCACCCTACGGGCCCTGTGGTGCCAGGTTAGCGTTATTCGGTGTCTGAGAGCTGCTTCCGGACGAGATTAGCTGTGGGTTATTGGACTGAGGAAGGCAGAGGCCTGTCCAGTGTGTGGGCCGCACCCACTGTGATGAGGACTCGAGTGGAAGGAAAGGAGTCCACTCCGCCTGAAGCTGAGCTGACTCCTCAGCCTCCTCCCTGGACTGGCCCCCGGTGGTCTATCCTCAGAGGCGACCACAGTCTCCTGGGTCTCTTGCTCGGCCCTACAAATGGTGCCATGAGCCGATTCCTTATAAGAATCAGAAACGTGCCGAAACCGGTTTGGCTCAGTGGATAGAGCGTCGGCCTGCGGACTGAGAGGTCCCAGGTTCGATTCCGGTCAAGGGCATGTACCTGGGTTGCGGGCACATCCCCAGTAGGAGATGTGCAGGAGGCAGCTGATCGATGATTCTCTCTCATCGATGTTTCTAACTATCTCTCTCCCTTCCTCTCTGTAAAAAATCAATAAAATATATTTAAAAAAAAAAAAAAGAATCAGAAACGTGTGTGTGTCTCCTATCCGCTGTTTCTCTGGGGACTCTCAATAGGACGTGATGCTAACACGGACCTTGTGAGCAGAGAGGGGCAAGTCCCAAGGGGGAAGTGAGCGTGTTCAGCCCTGCAGGTGTCTGACGGGCGTGGGAGCGCACACATGGCGGTGTTACTAGTGCGGCTGGAGCAACTTCCCTGACAACCTCCTGCCGACCACAGTTCTCGGGGCAGGAGGTGAGCAGGTTCCCAGCAAGACTGGACACATGGGACTGGGAGCCCTCGCGGCCACCGCTGCAGCACTCTCAGCTCACAGACCAGGAGACACAGTGCAGGCAGCAGACTTGTCCAAGATGGCACAGCTGCTCAAAGCAGAAACGGGTCAAGCTCCCCAAGCCACTGTCCTGACTCCCCACCTGCGATCCTCCAGTTCATCGAGGGAGAGACTGGAGACGGAGTCCCAGGACACGACAGGAAGGGCGTTTGCTGGGGGAAGGAGAGGCCCTGCCAGTGCCCTGGGGAGCGGGGGTGAGGTGTCTGCCATGGCCTGGAGCAAGGCTGGGGGCTGAGCAGGGAGGCAAGGGCGTCAGAAGCAGGCCCAGGGGTCACGCTGCTCCTGAGCCTGAGCCGTGTCCTCTGCCGTCTTCCCTTGTGTCCCCTTAGTGGAAATTGGGGTTCCCTTCACTGCTGTCCCCTGACTCTGGGGGTGTGGGGGTCGGGAGCTCGGGAGCCATTCTGACGGGACTCTGATTTGACCGGTATCTGTTCCCACAGGTTGGGAAGCCAGGCCTCCCTCTTTCTCTCCATCACACGTGGCCTGTGCAGAGGGTCACCCAGCACCGTCCACACATCACTGCTCTGGGGTCCACAGCTACGTCTGCCTCCCTCACTCCTCAGCCCACTCATCCTGTGCGCCCCTGGCAAAGGGGGGCGGCGCTCCCCTCGCTGGTCCCAGGCGGCCCCTAGGAACCCTCGGAGCAGGCGCTCCCCTATGGCACACGCCTGAGGAACCCCGCCCACCCTTTATTAAAACAGTTGGCAGCTTTAGAGAAGATGAACCAAAGGGCCGAGGTAAAGCTATCGAAACAGCAGTTTTTACGGATTCCGAAGCGGCCTCACGGAGACACACCTGGCCATGTAAGACGGGGCTGTCCGCGGGCTTGTTTGCAATGACAGCCCTTCCTACCTCCACACAATACAATTCCTTCCTACGCAGTCTGTTTCTAGGCACAGAGACCTCCACCCTGAGCCCTGCCCACGAATGAACAAAACACCCATTCCAGAGAGCGGCGCTTTTTCAAACAGGTGACAGCTACTTGGACCCAAGAGGGACGCACAGAGCGAGGGCCGAGCCCAGTCCAAGGCGCCACTGGCCGTGCGCTTTCCCCAACCTGATCTCTGGGTTCCTAAGACATTAGTATTCAAGGTTTTACTTCTGATACTATTTTTAAAGGCAACATAAAAAAAAAAATATTGTAGAACCTGCACATTTATAAACATAAGCATATTTAGCCTTTATAAATTATCTAAATCATCTAGCTTTGTTCTCAACACTGGTACATCAATGAAGGTTTCTTTACTGGATTTTACCTGCCCTAGCGGTTTTTTTCTTTTTTAGTTCTTTAATGTAAAAAAAAGTATATATGGGTCAGGGGTGGACAGGGGGGTGGAGCGGTGGGAAACGAGGGGCGGGAGGAAAGGGACAGCCTGCCTCGCGTGCACTCGGTCCGTGGCGTGGCGCGGGCGCGGGGCGCGGGCGGCCTGGCCCGGAGGCGGTCACTCGTCGCCCTGCTGGAGCAGCAGCAGGTGTATCTCCTGGAACGAGGGCCGGTGCCTCGTGTCCCTCCGCCAGCAGCTCAGCATCAGCTTGTACACGGAGTCGGGGCAGATGGCGGGCTGCGGGAGGTAGGTCTTTAGAAACAAAAAGAGAGAACGTTCAGGAAAGAGGGGAGGGGAGCTGCTGCATCGTCACTGACTCGCCCTCCTCCACCATCTTGGAGGTGGTCACTGCGTCCTGAGGGGCCCGCAGCCTGTCAGCCCCGCCCCCTTCGTCTCCGTCCCTGTCCCTTCCGCAGGACTTTCTGCTCTGGGGTCCCTACCACCAGCCCAAAGGCCAGGCGGCAGCAAAATGACATCTCAGACTGGAGACCAAGAGGTTAGAACCCGGGGTCCACTTAGACCACAAGCCTCCAAGGAAAGTGCCCTCTGGAAATTCTCCACCGTTTGTTAAGACAAATTGAAAACAAAAATGTTAAGCACATTTATTCTCAGTATTGAAATGATTGCTCTATAGGCTTCTACGCACTTTCAATTGCATGCAAAGGATGTAAGGTTTGCCTAAGCGATGGGCCCTGCGTATAAAATTCCTGCTAGAATTCATGTCGCTGAAGTTCTCCTGAATGAGATCCACTCTGTTCGGGAAGGAGTGATGGTAGCGGTGCCATCGGAAAGGCACAGAGACCACACGCAGACTGGGCGACCCCTGGCAGGGACAGTGGGAGAGACGGCCGCATGCGCGCCAACCCAGACTTTCACAGTTCACACACCAAAATTCTACCCATACGACGGAAAGCAGTAAAATATGAATTGGAAATTCATATCATCCTATCTAATAAAAGAGAAACATGGTAATTGGCATACAACCGCTACCCTTCCCATTGGCTAATCAGGGCGATATGCAAATTAACTGCCAGCCAAGATGGCGGCCAGCAGCCAGTCAGCTTGAAACTAACATGAGGCTTGCTTGCTTCAGTGACGGAGGACTCCAACATTCCCCGCCTGCCGCTGCAGGCCTCTGAGCTGCAACTCTAAGCAACTATGTAACAAATATAGAAGCTAAGCAAAACCCCAGAAACCTGCCTTAGTCCTCCGGGCTTCAGCCAGCAGGATCGCAACATTGTTAGCAAAGGCCAGAAACCTACTTTCAGCAGCAGAGGCCTAAGAGCTGGAGCCAAGCCTCAAAGCTAAAGCTGGCCCAGAATAAAAAAAAGAAAAAGAAAAATAGGAGCGGTTGGGAGCTTCAGTCACCCCCAGCCTGAAAACAGCCCTCATCCCCTCACCCAGGCTGGCCAGGCACCCCAGTGGGGACCCCCACCCTGATCCAGGACACCCTTCAGGGCAAACCAGCCGGCCCCCATCCGTGCACCAGGCCTCTATCCTATATAGTAAAAGGGTAATATGCCTCCCAGCACCAAGATCAGTGGAGCCGCAAGGCCCTCCCGGCACCGGGATCAGCGTGATGGGGCAGCGCCCAAACCCCCTGATCGCCCTGCGGCTCTGTGTGTGACGGGGTGGGGTCACAACCTCCCTATCCACCCTGCTCTGTTCGTGACAGGGGAAGGCGCCCCAACCCCCTGATCAGCCCTGCTCTGTGCCTGATAGGGGAGAGCTCCCCAACCCCCTGATCGCCCTGCGGCTCTGTGTGTGGCAGGCTGCAGTGCCCCAACCCCCTGATCGGCCCTGCTCTGTGTGTGACAGGGTGCGGCGCCCCAACCCACCACCCCCCCCCCACGGGCCCTGCTCTGTGTGTGACAGGGTAGAGCCATAACCTCCCCATCGGCCCTGCCCTGAGTGTGAGAGTGGTGGCGCCCCAACCCCCTGATCAGCCCTGCTCTGTGCCTGATAGGGGGGAGCTCCCCAACCCCCTGATCACCCTGCGGCTCTGTGTGTGACAGGCTGCGGTGCCCCAACCCCCTGATCGGCCCTGCTCTGTGCGTGACAGGGGGCAGCGCCCCAACCCCCTGATTGGCCCTGCTCTGTGAGTGACAGGGTACAGAGCCCCAACCCCCCTGATGGGCCCTGCTCTGTGAGTGACAGGGGGCAGTGCCCCAACCCCCTGATTGGCCCTGCTCTGTGCATGACAGGGGGTGGCGCCGCAACCTCCCCATCGACCCTACCCTGAGCGTGACTGAGGGTAGCATCACAACCTCCCAATCGCCCTGCTCTGTGCATGACAGGGGACGGTGCCCCAACTCCGCAATCAGCCCTGCTCTGAGCCCGACCAGGGGCTGCACCTAGGGATTGGGCCTGCCCTCTGCCACCCGGGAGCAGGCCTAAGCCAGCAGGTCGTTATCTCCCGAGGCGTCCCAGACTGCGAGAGGGCACAGGCCGGGCCGAGGGACCCCCCTCCCCCCCGAGTGCACAAATTTTTGTGCACCGGGCCTCTAGTCTATAATAATAAAAGCGTAATATGCTAATTAGACCAGACATCCTTCCAGACAACCTTCAGACGAAGCTGGGGCTGCGAGGGAAGCCCAGATCCCAGCTGCCGGAGGGAAGGAAGGCCTACTCTTTCATGAATTTTGTGCATCGGGCCTCTAGTATTTACATAATAAAATGTAGTAATATAAAATAATAAAATAGAAATTTAATAAATTACATTTCGTAAGTTAATGTGTTAAATAATTTTTTCTTTTTAGTTTATTAATTTTAGAGAGAGAGGAAGGGAGAGGGAGAAAGAGAAACGTCTACTGGCTGCCTCCAGCACGCCCCCTACTAGGGATTGAACCTGAAACTTGGGCATGTGCCCTGACCTGGAATTGAACTGGCGACCCTTCAGTGCACAAAACAACACCCAAACAACTGAGCCACACTGGCCAGAGCAAATTTAATAAATTTTTATTAAAAATTTAAAGTTGTGCTTAGAGGCAAGGAGCTTACTCAGAACAGGGTGGTGATATGTGGCTTTGGCCTGGGCTTTCGTCAAATATTTGACTTCACTACTCAACCATTGGGCATTTGATCAGAATATATTGGTTCACTACCAGTAGGAAATGGTGGACTTTTTACACTGAATATTTTAAAATGAGTAAAAAACTACCATTTGATCCAGTGATCCCACTTCTAGGAATATATCCTAAAAAAACAAACACCAATCAGAAAGGTCATATGCACCCCTATGTTCTTAGCAGCACATTTTACAATAGCTAAGATCTGGAAACAGCCCAGATCATAGCTATTGTAAGATCTGGAATGTCTGGGCTGGCGAGGAGCCTGACCTGCCCCCTCCTGCCCCCCAAGGATCCTGGGGGGACACAGAAGCAGAGTGTGTGCATGGTGCCTGGGCAAGAGCTGGTCTTTCACTTTATCTGGATGATTCGTGACAAAGGACTTCATCCGGTGGCCCGTCCTCCAGCCACCCTGTCCTGCTAAGCCAGGCCCCCTCTCTCCCCCGAGAGAGCACCGGCCCCGCCTCCCAGCCCGGCCTCACCTGCCTCCCTTGGTCCCGGAAGAACTCGCCGGTGTTCTCGATGACCTGCTCGTCGGACAGCTGGGAGTAGGGCTGCTCCTGGCAGAAGGTGAAGGCCTCCCACAGGGTCACCCCGAAGGCCCACACGTCACTGGCTGTGGTGAACTTGCCCTGTTTAGATCAGGGCAGGAGAGAAAATAAGAATCACCTGCCCACAGGAGGGGCTGGGGTCTCACAACCTGAGTGACCGCCGCCCCCCTCCCCCTGCCCCTGGGGCTCTGAAATGGCCGGCGGAGGTGCTGAGAGGACCGGGCAGTCCCCGACACCTGTGCCTCACTCAGGGCTGCTTCCCCTGGACCCGGGCTCAGGGCCGATGGTCAGAAGAAATGACATTTGGAAAAAAAAGTCTCTCTTACCCACCCATGGTCCAGAAGACCAAGAGTTGAATAAAAATTATAAAACAAAGAATGATGAACTTAAAAAAGTAAACGGTGATAATCATTAAAATAAAAATATAGAGATCAGTGTAAATAATGAATTAGAAATACGGTTATGGAATTAATTCAGAAGAGAACTATTTTGTGTGGATAACATTTCTTTAAATGATTTTTTAATTCCCTAAACTAATGAAGACCACTCAGTATGTGGAAAGGAGAGAGGGGAAAATACTAAATCCCTTATCACCACGGGTGCATTTTTAACCCTTTTCCCCAAGTTTTCTACAGTGAGCATGTCACATTTACCAGCAGAAATAGGCAAGTACCAAAAAGTAACAATTAGCACTCAAAGCAGGTCATCCCATCTGAGCAGACACCAAGCCTGCGGCTGCCTCAGCGGCCTGGAAGTCCCTGGCCGCTGCGCCCGCGGCGCCCACCCCCCGGGCCGCGCCCCCCCCCCCCCCCGGGCCGCGACCGCCCACCCCCCGGGCCGGCGCCCACCAGCAGGATGCTCTCCCAGGACATCCAGCGGATCGGCAGCACGGCGCGGCCCTGGATGCGGTAGTAGTCCCCGCTGTACAGGTTCCGGCTCATCCCGAAGTCGGCGATCTTGATGGTGTAGTTCTTGCCCACCAGGCAGTTCCGTGTGGCCAGGTCTCGGTGGACAAAATTCAAGGAGGAAAGGTACTTCATGCCAGAGGCGATCTGCGTCGCCATGAACTTCAGGTTGGCGTAACTGAGGGAAAACAGAGAGAAAGTCGCCTGTGGACAGAAGGAGCCGTGACAAGTGCACAGCCTGCACGGTTCCAGCCAACGCCGGCCCCCACGTGGCTCTCTGCTCTTCCCTGCGTGGCTTCTCCCCACACGCCAACCCCGCCGTCCGGACACAGCAAGCTGAGGGGTTCGCTGCTCCCCGTCTGCAGACCAGGTTAGTGTCAGGAAGGCAGGCAGGGGAGGGGCACGGCTGTTACCTGACAGTGGGCACCTGGCTGGGGCTGGAGCTGGGCGGCTCGTGGCGGGAGAGGAACTGGTTGAGGTCCCCGTTCTCCATGTACTCGGTGATCATGCACAGAGGGTCGTCGGCGATGCACACGGCTAAGAGGCGGATGATGTTGGCGTCCTTGAGCCGGGACATGATCTTTATCTCCTTTAGGAAATCATTCCTTTGGAGAGAGACACGTGGATAAGCCCAGAGAGGCCAGAGCCAGTCAGGAGGCGAAGGTGGCACAGCGCCCATCCCCCCGCACGAGCCTGGTTCCCAGACGACCTTGGGGAGGACAGAGGACGGCCGGCCGGGCTGCCTCACTCTCACAGCCTGGAGCAAGCCCTGGCCGCACTGCGGCCTGAGAGCGAGAACTGGGAGTCACGGCGGCAAGCCTGCACCCAGCCACAGGCCTGCCTGCGGAGAGGGGCCCCGGCTGCATCAGATACCCCTGCCCAGAACTGCTCGCGAAGTTAAGCTCTTCACCGAAATCGAGTCTGACAAGCACAGCCGTTTACCCCTAGGTAGAGCCCTGGAGCCAGTCTATGAATAAAGCAGAAACCCGGGTCCACCTGGCACCTCTGCGTTTTCTCCTGCTGGCTGTCCTGGATGCAGGCACGCCCAGCGCCGGTCCCAACATCAACACGGTTTCGTACAGTTGATGTGGGCAGCAATATGCGGTCATTTCAAAACAAGCGCTCACCGGGCCACGACTAGTAACTGTTCGTGTGTTTGGTGGCAGCCGCCCGAGTCACAAAGTGGCTATGCCCTTTCCCACAGCGATACTGGGGTCGGGGAGACCACCAGCCCACAGTCCCCAAATGACTGGAGCAGATCGGTTAAGTCTCCTGGGAGCTTTCTGGGAAAATTCTATCAATGGACACCCCCCGAACCGCGTCAAGTACAACAACCCCAAACAGGGGTCCCCATGGCTCTACAGGGGCCAGAGCCCCGGCCGCCCACCACTGCTCGGTGGGCGTGGACGCGGGGGAGGGTGCCGTCGCTGGATGAGACCCAAGGTGTCACCTGTCGTTCGTGCTCGTGTCCCTCACACTGGAGTTCTCAGGGAAAGTCCCGGCCCCTCTCAGTTCTCCTCCCCGGCTTTTCTTCTTCATCCCCCAGCCTGCCGTTTGCAAGGCCTTTCCTGTACCCTTTCGCCCTGTTTGGAGTTCGCGGTGTTTGAGGAGGGATAAGAAACTGTCTCTCACTCTGAGTCTCAGCGAGACTGCCATCTATGGAGGGGAGGGTCCCCGTTGGGGAAACGGCTAAAGGACTGTGGATCCTTCCGCTTTGAGGTCATGGTCCTTTTCCAAGTGGAGGTAGCTTCTCACTGTGGGGGTTGCTGGACATAGAAGAAAAGGAGCACAAAAGAGGGGAAAAGTGAGAAAGTAAACGGAGATGGAAAAAAGGACGGAGAAGGCTGAGCAGGAGCGTGGTGACCGGCAGTAAGGACACTCGGGAGCTCTGGACAATGGCTGAGGAGCGCCCACTCGGACGGCCATCCGTGGGACGGCCAGGGAGCGAACAGGTAGCGAGTCCAGTGGGAAATGTGCCTTTCTGGGAGGGAGATGGAGAACAAAGGTGAGGATGCTGGCCTGGTAGAAGGTAACGCGTAACCATGGAAACGTGAGGTGGCTCACAGACCTACCCTCTCCAAAGAAAAGATTGCTCAGAAGTATCCCGGGGTGTCCCTGACCTGACCTGAGGATGAAACACGTAAAGGAACCTCAAAAGGCAGCCACAGACCTGGCGTTCTTGTTGGCGTCTGCCCGGAGCATCTTCACAGCCACCAGGACCGGCTGGCTGGCGCTGGCATCCACAGCCAAGTCTTTGCCTTTGAACCTTTCCATCCCCTCCACTTCGCAGAGATGGACCTGGACGAAAGGCATGCGTCTCAGCACCAGCGCTCCTGAGGCGGCTCAGCCTCCGCGGCGCCTCCAGGGGCAGGACGGCCGCTCACCACGCATTCCAACAGCCAGGCGCATAGATGCATGGACACATCTACTGCCCCAATACTTATAAAAACAATAGGACGTGTGCTGCTTCCTACAGGTTGTGTCCATGGCCCAGAACACGGTGTGTGTGAATGAACGAATCCGCAGCACGGCATCCACCACGGAGGGCTCACCACCCGTGCGAGCCGCTACACGCTTGAACCTTTGTGGATCAGACCAATGCCAGGCAGTGTCCCCTCTAAGACGACCCCTTAGCACAGGGCTGGCATTGCAAGTGCGGGTCCCGTAACAGCACAACGAGCCTGCGTCTTTCACCCGGGGCAGCGTGAGGACGGAGAGCAGGAGCAGGGCCTCGGACTCCTGCAGCACCACCCCCCTGGGGGGAGCACGCCGCACCTGAAACCAGCCCCCGACCGTTAACCAGGCGTCACGGCGGGAGTGTGGGCGGCCACTGCTCGGACCTTCGGAGGCGCGGTGACGAGGAGGCTGACGGGAGAGGGAAGGGCCAACACACAGGCCCGCCTCGAGGCGCCCGCCCGCTGCTCCTCCTCGGCCTGCGAGTTGGGCCGGGGCTGCTGTGGGACGCGGGCGGGCGGGCGGGCGGGCGGGCGGGCGGGCTTGTGCGGGCCCTTGTACACTAAGTCCCATGAAGGGAGAACAGGGGTCTCTCGAGAACGGTGTCGGGACAGTTTACAAGACAATCACATCCTGTGGGCCCCCGCCCGCTGTCACCCCTAACCAATGTGAACATATCGACTGTTCTCAGGGCCTGGAGAGCCTGGTGACCTGCCCGGTGTAACTCCCACACAGAAGCCAGCGGGCCCAGGAAGCCACGGAGCTGGGCAGAGGTGCGGTGACCCGACACCGGCTTCCTGGGGAGCCGCGGGGAGGCGTGGCGGGCGTCCGCAGGCGGGTCCCCGTGGAGGGACTCCGCTCTCGGGCCACGTTTGTTCACTGTGGCCTGTGGGCCACCGGGACTGGATGCCCCTCTCAGAGCCACTCACCTCCCCGAACTGGCCTTCCCCTAGCTTCTCCTTGAAGGCAAGCAGCTTCCGGGGGAACTCCTCCACGGCCACGTCCTTCCCCGAGAGCAGGTCCATGGTGAGGGCGGGCACGGAGTAGGTGTTGCCCCCGGTCACGCCCTGCAGGTTCACGATGTCCGCCTCTGCGTAGTGGGGCGCGCCCTCGGGGCCACTGGGCGGGCCTGGCTTGGTAAGGCCGCTGCAGCCTGGAAGACACGGCGGAGGGCTCGCTCCGGGCTCTGAGGCTCCCGGGGTGGCCCCGTGAGAGACGGGGGATGGGGCAGGTCCCTAGCCCTGTCTCCCCCCCACGCTGGGTTCCCAGAGGCTTCCTCGTGGCTTTGGAGCGGCCACCATCGCGCCTCTCCTTTCTCAGACCACAGGACCGCGAGCATGTCCTTGGGTGACCTTGGGGACGCTATCCCCGCGGCCATGGCCTGTGAGGCGGAGGTTACGGCGGGAGCTCTAACAGCATCTTCCTTCATTGTGAGGCACCACCCGGCTTAATGACCCAGTCTAGGTCGTGAAACGCTTTCTGGTTAAACTTACAGGATCTAGTTTAAGACACTCCCTAACTTGAAAGAAAACATTGAAATACGAGGGGTGTTAGGTTCAGAAACCAGCTACGTTGCCCAGCCTGGGAACTCGCTTCGCTCCCGCCCTCTTCCTGCCGCCTGTCCGCACTCCAGGCCGCACTCCAGGCCGTGCCCCCCGCAGCAGCACCTCCTGAGGCTCAGGCCGCAGCTTCCTCTCTTCCCTCCCCTGAGCACCGTCCGCCCCCGCCGGGCCCAGCAGCCCCCCTGATGTCGCTCCACAGCCACTTCCCAAAACGCTGGATGCGATCCGCGGGCGCTGCTTTTCCAAGCGGAGCTCTTGCTGAGAAGAGCCGGGAAATACGCTCGTCAGGAAATCTGTGTGAGCGATAGAGCTCACCAAGGGAAACAGGTCTGGGTGGGGAGCCGAGGCCCCGGGCCCCGCAGCCTCCATTGCTCCTCCTCCAGGGGCCCCGGTCCTGAGCGCACCCCCAGATGCTGGTGTGGGGAAGGCCCTTCCCGGCACTCTCCCTCGGCCACCTGAGGGGGCTCCTGGCCCAGACGCCTCAGTGAGCCCTTCTGTTCACTCGCTTCCACCTCTGAGGTGGGGCCCTGGCGCTCGGTGGGGGCGTGGGCCCCTCCCACTGACCAGCAGGTGGCACGCCCGCCCTCCCCCTCGGCCAGGCCGCCCCCAGCTCCCTGCTGCTCTTTCAGCCTCACCCGGCGCCTCCTCCCCGGGAGCGAACTCTGGGAGCTTGCGGATCAGCCTGGAGGGCTCCTGGTAGTCCGGCCGCAGCGGGAAGATGCGGTCGTAGGTGGAGCTGGAGCCCTGCTCACTGGGCGGTGAGGAGTGGTTGTTGTGGAACATGCTGGACTCGCTGGGCAGGGACAGGCTGACGGTCATCTCGTCGTCCAGCATCCGCCGGGAGGCCTGGCGGGGAGGGAGGGAGGGCTCGCTGCACGGGGACCTTCCGGCTCCTCTCACCCGGCCCCCACGGGCTCTGCGAGCTCTGGGACTGTGCGCTGTGCGGCCGGTGCCGGCTGGTGGCACAGGCCTCACTTCGCGTCCCCTGAGGCCCTGGCACGTTCTTCACCTGACCCGCGGAGAGCCTGTCCGTTCCAACCAGAGCTCTCAGGCCCGGCGTTCGATGTCCTCGGCAGCAGTGGACTTGGCTGGCCACCCCGTGCCAACCACAGCACAGTGCGTCCGCGGCTCACCCAGTCCCTCTCGCCCACAGTCTTACCAACCAGCAGTGCCCAGCGAACCACACCTGCTTCAGGATCACAGCAGCTAACTGTGTGTCGTCCTGTCTGGTGTGCCCTGCTGCTCCTTCAGAAAATGCCAGAATCTGAACCTGATCCCTCACCTCATGCTGTGGGTGTCAATGAGAAACCTAGACGCCTGCTTCGCCCCTTTACTGCCTGAAGGTCCCTGTGGCAGTAAAACCCCCAAACCTAAGCTTCCTCTCTTCTGGCAGCACAGGAAGCCTGGGTACACTGGGCGGCTCAATGCCTACGGCTGAGCCTCCCCGAGAGAGATCCGCGCACACCCGGCCAGGAGCCCACAGGAACTACCGCCCGAAGCTAATGCTGAGTGACGCCGGGAACGGGCCTCCCCGCGGCGTTCGCCCGCAGCGCTCGGGCCCACGGGGCCTCTGCGGGTCCCTCGCTCAGGGCCCGGGGAGAAAGAACTTTCAAGGACCAAGATAGACAGTCCAGGGCAGACGTTCCTCTCCTCTGTACCTGGAGTCCAGTCAGCACCCTCTCCGGCCCAGGCGGGGGTTTCGGAAGCTAGGCCCAGGGAAGGGGCGAAGCACGGCTCACAGAGAGAGAGAGAGACAGACAGCTCTGGAGTGGGGGGCAAGGACCCGCCCCTCGGACCCACCGCCTGTGCGATCAGGACACAGCAGCTCCGACCGCCCAGCAAGCCTCAGCCCAGGGCACCAGGCCAGTGCCCCCACCTCCGCCTCCTTCGCCTCCGCCCCTGGGCTGCCCTCTCCCTGGACGCAGACGCGTGTCCGTCACAGGCGTCACGCGTGCTGCAGGCGCCTCCTGTCGGTCTCCAGGCGCTATTTGTGGTAAGAGCCTTAATTCAGGGAAAGTGCTTCCAGGCTGACGGCGAGGCCTAAGTCACAGGGAAGCACAGGCCTCTCCCGTGAGATGCTGCGGCCGAAACCCCAACGCGAGCCCCTCGTCTCAGAAACTGACTGTGGAGCAGCTCAGTCTGGAGCCCGTGATGCCGGCCGTCCTCCGGCCTCTCCCGCCCGTGCCCCCCCCCCCCCCCCCCCCCCCCCGCCTCCCGTGGGCACTGGTCTCCTGGAGGCCTCCCAGGCTCTGCCTGGCCCGCCCGCCCCTCACAGGCAGTGCCAGCCCCCACAGCCCACGCCCACGGGAGCTCCCTGCCCGGGGAGGACGTCCACGGCCAAAGGTAGAAACCCTTACTCCCCGGAACAGCCCGAGGCACTGAGCAGTCGTGTCCAGAAAACTGGTCTCTGGCCTGAGGAACCAAGCGAGTCATGGCTGGCCCACCTGTGGTGACCTGAGTGTGTTTCGGAAGACAATGACAACTTATTTCAAGACCGACAACTGCAGGAACAGAGAGACAGGTGTGAGCCGTGTAACGTGAGCACATCACGTGTGCCCATGAGAGAGGCCGTCAGGTACAACTCTGCCCAACTCACCACCACTCAGTGAGGGTCAAGTGGAAGTCCTTGTGGACGGTAAAGCGTTAGATGTAATGACAATTATTCAGATAAGTTGGCCTGGACAAGAAACTGAGGAAGGGGCCCACAGGGATGGACAATTGTAACGTTAAGCATGCAGAGAAGTGGGAATAGAACTGTGAGAGCTTGGCTTGGATATTAGTGAGGCTGGATGCTTTACACACACACACACACACACACACACACACACACCAAAAAATAAACAGCAAACAGCAAAGAAGAGGAGCAGTATTTCAGAGATTTTGGGTAGGTATCAGTTGTCCATCAGAAGCACTTGTTAATTTTTTTAAATTGTGTTTTAAGAGAGAGAGGACGAGAGATGGAGAAGTAGAAACATCCACGGAAGAGCAGCATGGACCGGCTGCCTCCTGCACACCTCCTACTGGGCATGGAGCCCACAACCTGGGCATGCGCCCTGACCGGGAATCTAACTGCGACCTCCTGGTGCGTGGGTCAATGCTCAACCACTGAGTCACACCAGCTAGGCTCCTGCTAATTTTTTTAAATATATATATATATTGATTTCAGGGACGAAGGGAGAGGGAAAGAGAGATAGAAACATCAATGATGAGAGAGAATCATTCAGCAGCTGCCCCACACTGGGGATGGAGCCTGCAACCCAGGCATGCGCCCTGACCGGGAATCGAACTGTGACCTCCTGGTCGATGCTCAACCACTGAGCCACGCCGGCCGGGCATCCTGTGCATTTTTTTTAAACGCACATGCCTGCACCTCCCTCTCCACCCAGGGCATCAGCATCTCTGAGGCGGAGCCTGTGCTGAGATCTCACGATTGGGAGGAGCTCCCTGGGCAGGTCCCAAAGTCTCCACTCTGAGAATGAGAACGTGGACCTGCCCGTTCTTTCCTGGCTCCTTCAGTGACAAATCCCTCCACCCTGCGCTTCCCGGGGCCCGGGCGAGCGCCTCGCTGGGTGCAAACCCTCACAGTTCGCCCTTGGGTCCCGGGGCAGCAGCGGCCTGGCGCCTCCTCACCTTCTCCAGCATCTTCTGCCAGAACTGCCTCCAGAGGATGGTGACAATGACGGCCAGGAGGATGAAGATGATGGCCACCAGGCAGCCAATCAGGATCCGGGTGTTGCTGTCGTCGACTTTCAGCATTGGGTCTGCAACCAGGAAGAGAGGTGGGGAACGCCGTCATCTTGTGGGACAAGGAAGAGAAGGGGCCTGGACCAGCGACAGGCCTCTCAGGGTAATTCCTCTGGTGCCACCTGGACACCTGCTCCCTCTCGGCCTTGCTACTCTGTCCTCTCGCCTCCTCCTCCCGTGTCAGACGGGATCACGGACAGCTTTCCAACTTTCCCCAAATGTCGTCCCTTTATCACCACGGCCGGGGTCTACGGGCCCCTCGTCACACCTCCTGAGAACCAGGTGAGGGTCCGGTCTGCGCGCTCTGAGATGTGACAACTCGCCGAGGCTCCTCTTTGAGACGCAGGGTCATGCATTTCCCAGGTGCTGGCTCCCGCGACTAGTGAGTGTCTGAAGCTACAGACACAGGTCTGCACATTTATCTCCGATTAGAGAGGCTGGTGCTGCCCTCAGCGCCCCAGCCATCCATGGACACCCGGGGGGCCGCGGGTAGAAAGGTCTCCCCCTGCTTCTGCTCCCCATTTCCCCAGCTCCCAGAAGCCACTGGAAGCAGGCCACCTCCGCCTCGGGCGAGCACAGGCCGGGCAGGGAGGAGCGGAGGCTGGGCCCACCTTTGGGGGGCGCTGTCTCGGGGCAGAGCCACCTGCGCCAGCTCCCACACAGACAGCAGGTGCAGTCTCCACCCCTAGGAGCTCCCTTCACCTGGTTTGCTGGAGGCGGACTCACCGTAGGTGGTGGGCGCCCCCGGCGAGGCGGGCAGGGCCCCGGAGGTGTTGTACATGGCAGCATCTGTTAAAGACAGGCGGAGTCAGAGCTGTGGGCGAGGAGCGGACAGCAGTCTGCAGAGGGCGGGCCCGGCCGGCCCAGCGTGAAATCAACTTCTCGGCTGGCCACTCACCTTTCTTAAACATGAAATCATGTCATACATTAAATAAAAACATCACCATTCATCTATTGAGTAAGCGCAACTTTTGTAAAACTTTTGTTTAAGTTATTATATACTCGTGCCATGGTATTAAAAAGAAAGAATCAGTGATGTGGCCCTGGCCCATTTAGCTCAGTGGTTAGAGTGTTGTCCCACAGACTGAAGGGTCATGGGTTCAATTCCGGTCAAGGGCATGTACCTGGTTGCAGGCTCCATCCCCAGCCCCAGTTGGGGCACATGTGGGAGGCAACCAATCGTTGTATCTCTCTCACATTGATGTTTCTCTCTCTGTATCTCTCCCTTCCCACTCTCTCTAAAAATTAATGGGGGAAAAATCCTTGGGTGAGGAGAAGGAAGGAAGGAAGGAAGGAAGGAAGGAAGGGAAGAAGGGAGGGAGGGATGGAAGGAGGGAGGGAGGGGGATGTCGAGAGCCGTGACTACATATTATCACAAAGCTCACATAGGAAGTTAAGGCCCCAAGTCAGACAGTGCACAGGAAGGCGGGGACGTGGGCCTGTGCAGGCTCCTGCCAAGGCCTCTTTCCCTGCAGGAAATCCAACTGTGTGACAGAGGGCTCTCACCCTGCCGTGTGGCCTGGCCCTGGACTTGTGACCGAGCTCGTCCTGCGGACGCAGACGGCACCCAGTGCTCTCTCTGGGAGGCAGCAGCGTCAGGACCGGACCCCAGTATGGGCCAGACTGATGTGGGCAGCGGAAGTCCTCCTCTGGGTGTCCGGCCGAGGAGGTCAAGAGCTAGACCTGCACCTCTGTCCCACGGACGTTCTCGCCAAACCCTCGCGGCTCCTTCGCAGCGTGCTTTCCGCGTGCGGGCGGCGACTGGCCCCCAGGACGGCTCGGAACTGGGTCCAGTGAACACGAGTATTATCGTGACGTGGAACCCAAGCTCAGGAGGCCCCAGGAGTCAAACACCGCCGGGCTGCCATTAGCTGTGCCCGGTACCAGCCGCTGTGCACACGCCGCGCGTGGACGGAAATCCGCGGTCCCCGTCACACAGGTAAGTGCGTCCCCCAGGCCCCGCACGAGGCTCAGTCCGCGGGCAGCGTCCAGGCAACTCCACTGCCCGTGGCCCTTCTCTCCTCTGGCCGCTGAGGGTTGGTCCCAATCTGACCGCGTCCTCCGTGCCGTTAGCTTCCCCAGGCCTGGCACAGTCCTGGGACCCCGCCGTGACCTCCAGACTTCATTCCCACCAACAGCAGCCACGACTGCCGAGGAGATGGTTGGTCCCACTTTGGGGCAGTAAATGCTCAAATGGGCTCGGGGCATCCTGTTCCTCCTAAAGCAGGAGAGTTCCAGAGGCCGTGGGGCCCGGGCCGAAGGACATGGAGCTGCTCAAGGGTGTGCGCCCCCCGCAGGGCAGTCTGAGCTTCAGAAAGCATTTGACTCAACACACTGAATTCTAAAAAGCAGTGAAATGCGTGCGCAGTGACACCAACACAAAACCAGGACGGAGAGCCAGCAGCTCCTCCGAGGCCCTTGGAGGTTGTGAGGGCGCCGACTCCCTCCGACAGCTGCCGAGGAGGGAAACCAGGCGCGCACCCTGCCTCCTGGGCAGTAACGGTGCAGGAAGGTCCCCGTCAGAAGACGGGCGCTGACAAATGCAGAGGACCCAAGACTGAGGGCCACCCTTCAGCGTCCCCCAGGAGCTGACTGACCCAAGCAACGGGCATTGCGGCCGTGCGGGGTCCTGGGGGCACCTAAGCACAGAGGTCCCTCTTCCTGCCCGAGAGCACCCCTAACCCCCCGCCCAGGCGGGGGCCTCCCCCAGCACCAAGGGCCACCATGCTTGTGGGCCCATGAAATGGTTAAATCTATTGACTTCCTGACCCATGAGAAGTGTTTTACACAATCCCAGGGTTACTCACAAATGGCCTTTAGTAAAGAAACAAGCAAAAGACTCTAAAAATCTATGTAAATCTACTGCTTGTCCCTTTAAAAATTATTTCTTCAGGGGGAGGGGTGAAAGCTCTGGCAGGTTAATCAGGCAAAAGTTTCCCTAACAAAATAATCAGCCCTGGCTGGTTTGGCTCAGTGGATGGAGCGTCGGCCTGCGGACTGAAGGGTCCCGGGTTCGATTCTGGTCAAGGGCACAGGCCCGGGTTGTGGGCTCGATCCCCAGTGGGGAGCGTGCAGGAGGCAGCCAATCAATGATTCTCTCCCATCATTGATGTTTCTATCTCTCTCTCCCTCTCCCTCTCCCTTCCTCTCTGAAATCAATAAAAATATTTTTTAAAAAATAAAAATATTATAAAAACAATCCCATTTACCATCGCACCAAAAAAATTAAGCTACCTAGCAATAAACTTAACCAAAGAGGTAAAAGACCTCTACTCAGAAAACTACAGGACGTTGAAAAAAGAGATAGAGGAAGACATAAACAGATGGAAGAACATACCGTGTTCATGGATTGGTAGAATCAACATCATTAAAATGTCCATACTACCCAAAGCAATCTATAAATTCAATGCACTTCCCATTAAAATACCAACGGCATACTTCACAGATCTAGAACAAACTCTCCAAAAATTCATCTGGAATAAAAAAAGAGCCCGAATAGCTGCAGCAATCCAGAGAAAGAACAAAGTAGGTGGGATCTCAATACCAGATATCAAGATGTATTACAAAGCCACTGTTCTCAAAACTGCCTGGTACTGGCACAAGAACAGGCATATAGATCAATGGAATAGACTAGAGAGCCCAGAAATCGGCCCGAACCAATATGCTCAATTAATATTTGACAAAGGAGGCAAGAGCATACAATGGAGCCAAGATAGTCTCTTCAATAAATGGTGTTGGGAAAATCGGACAGATGTATGCAAGAAAATAAACTAGACCACCAACTTACACCATACACAAAAATAAACTCAAAATGGATAAAGGACTTAAATGTACAACAGGAAACCATAAAAATTCTAGAAGAATCCAAAGGCAACAAAATCTCAGACATACGCCAAAGCAATTTCTTCACTGATACAGCTCCTAGGGCACTTGAAACTAAAGAGAAAATGAACAAATGGGACTACATCAAAATAAAAAGCTTCTGCACAGCAAAAGAAACCATCAACAAAACAACGAGAAAACCCACTGCATGGGAGAACATATTTGCCAATGTCATATCTGATAAGGGCCTAATCTCCAAAATTTATAGGGAACTCATACAACTTAACAAAAGGAAAATAAACAATCCAATCAAAAAATGGGCAAAGGACCTAAATAGACACCTTTCAAAAGAGGACATTCAGAGAGCCAAGAGACATATGAAAACATGCTCAAAGTCACTAATCATCCGAGAGATGCAAATCAAAACAACAATGAGGTACCATCTCACACCTGTCAGACTGGCTATCATCAACAAATCAACAAACGACAAGTGCTGGAGAGGATGTGGAGAAAAAGGAACACTTGTGCACTGCTGGTGGGAATGCAGACTGGTGCAGCCACTATGGAAGACAGTATGGAGTTTCCTCAAAAAACTAAAAATGGGCCGAAACCGGTTTGGCTCAGTGGATAGAGCGTCGGCCTGCGGACTGAAAGGTCCCAGGTTCGATTCCGGTCAAGGGCATGTACCTGGGTTGCGGGCATATCCCCAGTAGGAGATGTGCAGGACGCAGCTGATCGATGTTTCTCTCTCATCGATGTTTCTAACTCTCTATCTCTCTCCCTTCCTCTCTGTAAAAAATCAATAAAATATATTTTTTTAAAAAAAACAAAAACAAAAACTAAAAATGGAACTCCCATTTGACCCTGTGATCCCACTTCTAGGAATATATCCCAAATAACCAGAAACACCAATCAGAAAGGATATATGCATCCATATGTTCATAGCAGCACAATTTACCATAGCTAAGATCTGAAAACAGCCCAAGTGCCCATCAGTAGATGAATGGATTAGAAAACTGTGGTACATCTACACAATGGAATACTATGCTGCTGTAAAAAAGAAGGAACTCTTACCATTTGCAACGGCATGGATGGAACTGGAGAGCATTATGCTAAGTGAAATAAGCCAGTCAATGAAGGAAAAATACCACATGATCTCACTCATTCATGGATAATAGAGACCGTTATAAACTTTTGAACAATAACAGATACAGAGGCAGAGCTGCCTCAAACAGATTGTCAAACTGCAGCAGGAAGGCCGGGGAGGGTTGGGGGGCAGGAGGGAGGGGGTAAGAGATCAACCGAAGGACTTGTATGCATGCATATAAGCATAACCAATGGACATAAGACACTGGGGGTAGGGGAGGCCAGGGGATTGTCAAGGGCGGGGGGAAAAAAGGTCACATATGTAATACCCTTTGTAATACTGTAAGCAATAAAAAAATAAAATAAAATAAATAAAACAATCAGTCCCCCCCCCTCAAAAAATATAAATAAAAATAAAAAATAAATTTAAAAAGCTCGAAGCACCATCTAGGAAAAGCCATTGACAAAAATAAATATGGAACCGGAATTGAAATCAGCGGTAGATACACCCTCACGTCTGAGGGATGAGCCGCCAGCCAAACCAGGTGGCAGTTTTTGAAAAGGACTGTTTCAGATGAAAGAGACGCGTGGGATACAATGAAGGACACAGCCCCAGAGGCCCATCCAATCAGCCAAGCGCAGCAAGACACCACGGGCAGCGGAGTGGGCGGCCGCTGGGGACGTGCAGGCGTGGCCGTGCCTGCTGGTGAGTGTTGGTAGATGTTATGATGGCGTCATGCATGTAAAGATGATGCTAGTTTCTTAGCGGCACCGAGCACTCTTAGTGCTGAGTCAAACATTGCCTTCAATTTGCCCTAAAGTACTTAGCAAAGGGGGAATGAAGCACACCAGCGTGCCGTCGGGGAAGCGGAGGGACCATGGCTCCCTGTGCCCCCTGTGCTTTTAGAGAATTTCCTCTCGATGTTTGAACAGTGACGTGGGGGCTCCCGCCGACGGGCTTACTTCACAGAAGCGTCTACCACACCGTGCTCTCCCTTGTCAATCCTCATTTCTGTTCTCTTAGACAAACAGGTGGGAGCCAGCGCATGTCCTGTCCCTACAGCCCCGGCCCTGTCCCTCCACGGGGGCAGCCAGGAGCGCGGTCCCTCCGTGCCCCTGAGAAGCCCCCAGCGGGGGAACTCCCGCACCCGCACCCACCCGCTCCCGGGGCCCCGCCCCAACCTGACTGGAAGGTGATCTCGCTGAACATCATCCAGGTGTCGGCGAAGTGGAACTGGCACTTGAGGGCGCTGGCCATGCGGTGCTGCAGGGGCACGGTGACGAAGCGGGCGCTGGGGTTCACGTCGTCCAGCACCAGCGGGAAGGACACGGCGTTGGGCTCCCACTCGCCGGCCTCCGCGCGGAAGTAGCACTGCACCTCCTTGAAGGTCTTCACGCCCTTCTCGAACATGTTGTTGCAGTGCACCTGGGGGAGGGGCCGGGCCGTCACTCTCCCGTGCTGGCGCTGGCCGCACGCAGAAATGGACGTGCCCTGTATTCCAGGCCTCCTGGCAGGCGGAGGTGACCCCGTCCTTGGACAGAGTCCCCGAGTCCCTACAGAGGAAGACTGAAGCCGGACATTGCGGGGTGAGTGGTCGGGCCCAGAGGGAGGCCCGCGGCGCTTGCCTGCGGAGGCTGTGACCGAGAGAGGTGCTCTCTGCCAGGGTCCTAGTCCTGCCCTCGAGCTCTCCTCCTCGCACCAGCGTGGCGGAGCATTTAGACCGAGAGACGGCTGGCGCAGGCAACCAGGGGCGCTAACCTGGCCTCTCACAGTGGTGACGGAGCTGTCGTATGCTGAGTGCAGGGACAGAGCCGACAGGGGAGCCCCTGGAGGAGCCCGGGGTCCGTCAGAGAACACGCACCCCTGCCTGTGAACAGCTGGCAGAGGCCGACTCCTCGGTGCTGGGGGAGGTACCCGGGTGGGAAGTGGTTCAAAATGAGAAGCCCACCCTCTCCGTGGGGAGAGCACAGTGCAGAGCCCCCTCCTGGGTGGGACCCTCAGGTACCCCCCTGGCACGGGGTCGCCTCCGCAGCCTGGCACATGTGCCTCTGTGGGCCCCTCCCTCCTTAAAAAGACATTAAAATCAGATGGTACAACTGTTGTTCAGAGGGGGGATCATTTTGGCCCTGAAGTTCATTGTTTTCCTCTGATATTTAAAGGAGGTAAACCATGCTCATGGGCCCACAAGCATGGTGGCACTGGAGACCGCCCACCGTGCTGCTGGACGCGCCGGCTCCGCGCTGGCACCACACGCCACGAGGGACAGCGGCCTCGTCCGACCGCCTTGTTTACAATGAGGAAAGGGCCAGACCGGCTGGGGGGCTGGGGGCCGCACGTGGCCAGTCAGGAGCGTGTCCTGCAGCCCCGCCCAAGGCCGCCAGCCCCCGCCACGCACAGGGCCGTGTGCCCGCTGACCTTCATGGTGGTGAAGTTCCTGATGCGGTCAAATTCAAACACGATCTCGATGTAGCCGTTGGCGGCGCTCTCGTTCCTCCAGCCCACGTAGTCGTAGCCGGGCCACACGTGGTACTCGTGGGTCTGGGTGAAGTCGTCCAGGCCGGACACCCCGTCCGTCAGCTGGCCCAGCCCCTCGGTCATGCTGCCGGCCAAGGCGAGAGGAGGGGACAGAGGCCCGAGTTAGCGCATGCTCGCGGAAGAGTTCCCACCGGCTGCACCGGGCTCTGAAAAAGCTGGCTATCATGGAGGGTGTCGGATTATGAGAAATCCGATATATCTGAGAGTATCAACTCATTCATCCTGCATCGGTGCAGAATTAAGCTTCATATCGATGAATTTTACAAAACATTTGATTTTGATTCCCCTTCAATGGCAAAGCTGTTAAACAATATTCTATCACTTTCTATACTCTCTTGTGCCCTTACCTATTCTTACATGCTGACATAACCAGTCTTTTTATAATGACTCAATGTTATCAAAGACATTTGATTAACGAATCTAGGAGTGAGCGACTGCAGGAACGCATGTGGAGTGGACCGCAGCCTGCCCATCCCCTGTCCTGGTCCCTGAGCGGGTTGGAAACTCATTGCTCGGCGAGTCAGTTCAGTAAGCCAGCCCACCCCCACCCCATCCGACACCAAACTACAGGGCAGGAGGCCACTGGCCCTTCACCCCGCCCGTGAAAGAGGCGAAGGGATTGAGAAGTGTGCGTCGGCCGTCCCAGGCAGCCACGGGCCAGGGGCAGAGCCAGTGAGGTGCACTCGCTATGGACGGTGCCGGGGGCCTGGACTTCTTGAGGTACCGCGTGGTAAATGATAGCAACGTCTAATTCCTATGCTGTACACCTGGAAACAATGCCAAATAATATTGGAAGTAAACTGTAATTTAAGAATGAAAAACCTGCCACATTTAAGTACTCATTTATATTTCATTTTAATCAAATTCATAGGCAATGAGACCCACAGAGTGAGAGGCATGGGTGACACGAGGGTCTGGGACTGGCTCAGTTTTGTTCTGGGCCCGGCAGCCTTTCCACCTCCGAACAAGGCCGCTCTGAGGGCGGAGCCGCCCGGAGCCCGGCTGCTCGGCCGTTCACCAAGACTCTGCATTGTGGGCTTGGGTCCCGCTCAGCCACACGGCATCTCCACCGCCCATCTCCTCAAGTCACGTGCCAGCCTCTCGTCTCCTTCCCTGCGTGAACGTCCCTCCTCACCCCCACAGTCCCCATATGGCCTGGACTTCCTTCTCCCCCACCCCTCCTGGCCCTGGCATTCAGGTTCCTCCAAATGACGACAGAATCTGCCTCGCTCTTCTTCACACTGCGGCTTCGGGGAACTGAGCTGCTGCTCCCCTAAAGGGAGGCTGTGGTCCTGTCCACACGCTGCCCCTCTGCCTCCAACACCATTTCCACGCCCCCTGCAGGGCGGCTCCACACCCTCTGGGGCCCGTCTATCCATCCTGCCAGGTGTTCCCTGGCCCTCCCTACACGCGAAGCTCTCCCCCTTCAGGGCACTTCTCCCTCCGTTTTAATCCCATAAGCCTCGGAGCGAAGCGAAGGAACCTTCGTTACATGGGCCAGGGCCTTCCCTCCATGCTGGGCTCCTCCGGGCGTCCCCCTCCTCTGTGCCAGGCCGCTCGGGACACGGCTCACTCACCCTGACGTGTGGCCGCTGATCCCTATTTTAGCCCCATTCTACTGAGAGCTTCGGGACCAATGGCTGCATGGTGAGAATGCCCACCGTGCCTGGCAGGCACCATGATTAGCAAATTGGACTCAAGCCTGGGGTTTCCTCTGGGCCCTGGGACTAGGCCGCTGGGCTGTGGCCGGGGGATGATGGCACGCCGACAAGGCAGCAGAGGGGCGGGGCCGAGCGGATGGGAAGGAAGTGACCTGAGCGGGAGGCTGCGGTCAGGGCGGCGGGGACAGCTGTCTGCTCTCCCCTCGGGGCCGTGGCCCTGGACCGCCACGCTCCTAAGTCACCAACCTCGGAGCTCCAGTCTGGCCCTCGCCGTGGGCTGACTCCGCCAGGCTCCACTTTTGCCGATCAAGACTGAGCTGAGCGAGATAAGGTGTGGAAGTGGGTGGGCGAATGGCCAAGTGTGGTGCCACCTGGGACAGGTGGGGATGGGTCTTATCCAACCCTAATTCCTGCAGGTCCTGAACGGACTGCACACGGCCTCACAGGTCCACTTCAGGCTGTCACTGCTCCAGCTCCTGGGCCAGGCGTCCTGTCCTCACCCCCCTCCACCCCCCTCTGCTCCAGCTCCTGGGCCAGGCATCCTGTCCTCACCCCCCTCCACCCCCCTCTGCTCCAGCTCCTGGGCCAGGCGTCCTGTCCTCACCCCCCTCCACCCCCCTCTGCTCCAGCTCCTGGGCCAGGCATCCTGTCCTCACCCCCCTCCACCCCCCTCTGCTCCAGCTCCTGGGCCAGGCGTCCTGTCCTCACCCCCCTCCCCACTGCTCCAAGGATCAGCCCATCCTCAAAACCCTCCTTGTCTACCTTAAGCATTTCCTACTGGCCCCGTCTTTTCGCACCTTCTAAAGCACGCATAGCTATGGGTCATCCTGCCTGAACCTCTTAACCTGTGCAATGTATTAAATGGACGCCTTCCGTCCCTGCAGCCCGTGCACGGCTGCCATTCGTGAGTCAGACCCTATGTCCCGCTTCAAGGGGGAAAGCACGCGGTGTCCTCGGCCCAGAGCCACCCTGTGAGCTCCGCCCCCTGCCAGTCCCTGTCCTCCCAGGAGGCCCCACTTCCTGGGAGTAAACTCCCGTGGGCTCCATCTAGGTTATCCCGTGACGCCCAGGACAGGGTCTGAAGGAAACTGGGGGTGGATTGACTGGTTGATTGGCTATTGATCCCAAGCCATGGTTCTCTTTTAGTGGCCATTTTCCCATTCTGAGAACCCAAGTCTCCAGGAGTTACCTGTACCCGACGGCTCCGTCGTAGACTGAATCGTTCAGGTAGATGACGGCGCCTCCAGGGAGCACGAACTGCTGTCCGGCCGGAGCGTTGTAGGACACCAAGCCGTCTGCGAGGGGAACGGACGGTCAGCACCAGAGCCCACCAGCCCGGGAGCCTCCCGGCTGCCCCTGCGCTGCGGCCCACCAGGCCCCGACGCGGGCACAGCGCAGCCAGGGGGACTGAAGTGATGCCACGCTGGGAACACCCCTGCCGGGATGGGGAGCAGCCGGGCTGGGTGAGCGACGCTCCCCCTCTCCCGGGGACCACACACCAGCCGCCGTCGCTCTCTGCAGCGCGGCTCGGACACCTACCCAGCCAGACGCAGCCGTAGAGCTCCACCCTCATGCACACGTTCATGGAGTGGTCGGTGACCGGGATGAAGCGGACGAATCTGGCCACGATGGGCGGCTCCAGGTCCTTCAGGAAGATGTCGTAGGGGTTACTGCTTCCGTCCAGCACCTGAGCGGAGAGCAGAGAGTGGGGGTGGCTGCGACGCTCCGCTGACCCTTGCTCCCCCAGCCTCCCCCCAGGGCTGGACGTCTCGCCTCCTACCTGCTTCCCGTGCCGGTTCCGCCAGGAGATCCAGCGTGCGCCGTCCCGGCTGTAGTGGATCCTGTACATGGGGGCGAACTCGATGCCGTGGCCGCCCGCGTGGCGGCCCTGGGTCCCCACCAGTGTGATGAAGTGCAGGGAGTGCAGGTCGATCTGCAGGAACTCCTTCAGGTCGTCAGGCTCCACCGGGATCTCGGGACACCAAGCTCCATCCCCTTCCTCCGAGTCCAGCCTGAGACACGAGGGCGAGACGGGGATCCGTGACTCCCGGACTCCGCTCCCCGCGCAGCCAGCAGCTGCCCGGCCTGGCACAGGGCCAGAGAGTTCTCCCTCGGGGTGGCTGCACCACCGTGCCCCGCATGGTCAGCCCTTCTCCCTGGCACCAGGGACCCAGAGGACAGTCACCACTGGGAGCTGGGGCCGTCAGGTCACAGGGAGGCCTGATTCGGATGCAGAGACCTCACTGGAGGTGCCGTGAAGCCTCCCCCACAGTCACTGCACCTGCCTCCCCTGATGGTCGCCTGGAAGTCTGGGGGCGCTAAGGTTCCCAGTGTGGGCAGCGTAGCCAGCAGGAGGGGCGTGGCCGCCCAGCAGGTGGAGACATGGTGGGAGTGACGGGAGAGGGAACCACGGATCATCTGGTGCTTATGTCCAGGCTGCGCTGCCGGGGGCAGAATGGGGAACTGGGTACCAGGTTCGTTCGGGGACCCCGGGACACCCTCCCTCTTCCCTGGCACATGCCTTTGCTCACAGGTGTTTCTGACCCCTGCTGACCCCATCCAGCTCACCACCACCCCTCTCGTCCTTAACGCATGAGTGGAATTTATGGAGGTTGCTCTTCTTATGGGTGATGCGAGTTTAACAGAAATCCACACTTCACACCAAAAGACTCAGCTCGAAGAAGGCGGTTTGGCCCTAACAAGCAGAGGGGCTTTTGACAAGGAGTTTATTCCTGCAGATGACCTGGTACCAGCACACGGGGAGCGCCACACTCCTAGGGACGGGGCCTCCCGGGAGGCGTCCTTGAGAGCAGGGTGCTCCCAGAGCAGGTCCTCGCTAACCTGCACCCCCGCATCTGCCACCCAGCCACCCTCCAGCATCTCCCGGCAAGAGGGTGAGGCCAGCCCATGCATCCGGAGCCTCCGCTGTAGTGTGGCCTGGCCTCCGCGGTCAGGATGTCGCCAGACCTGCACCGGCGGCCGAGCCCCAACTCTCCCTGAGAACACGCAGCCCAGGGCAGGCCCGTGACGTCCTCCAGTTCCCACGCGCTCCCACCAAGCACCAGCCTGTCCAGGAAACCTGTCCCACTCGGAGCTGCTGTCCGGGTCCCCGCCTTGGGCCCCGCCCTCACCGTCCGTATCTGGCCGCGGTGGACTCTGACCATTGGCTGGAGGCTGTGATGTCCTCATCCGGAATGTGGCCTCCCGACATGCCCAGGGGGTAGCGGCACACGGCTGGACCAAGAGAAAGCAAAGACAGGAAATCCGTATTGTTACGTCCAGAGGCCTCCCTGGGAAGAGCACAGTTGGTTATTGGACGTGGAAAAAGCGACTCAAATCCTCCAGATCGCGATGACCCGCTCTGCTCACCGTGACGCTCAGCCTCTCCTTCCTGGTTCTGCCCCCAAACCGATCACCACGCCACCGTCCGAGCGCTGACCCGCGGCCAAACTACCTTTTGGTCCAAGGGCTGAAAGGACTGTAACATGAGTTGTGTCGACCTTCCCATCCGCACTCCCTGTCAGCAGGTGGGGTTTCCTATAAGCGATGCTCCTCGCAACCCGGGGCGGGGCCAGAGCACCCCTTCCTCCCGGAGGTGGTTTCATGGAACTCGGGAGCAAGCCCAGACCCCCGGGAAGGTGCGGAGCACAGCCGCGGCCCCTCGGCACCAGGCTGGGGCCCTGGCTCAATCAGGAACCTCAGAGATGGACCCCTCCACCCGGGGTAAGGGACAGGGCCGGGTTCACTCTCCTGGGTGAAACAAACAAACAAACAAGGATAAAGCATGTGAAAAACTGGGGTCCAATATAATGAACATAAGACAACCCAGGGCAGCGACCCTAAAAGACAGGAAACAAGGCGAGAGCCCACTTTGTACCAGCTCCCACCGCGCCATGTCGGGCGCTCAGGAGCGAGAGCCCAGGTGAGGCTGGAGGGTGTCCGAGTGGGGACAGAGCAGAGCCCGGGAGGACAGGGGACAGAGCTTGCAGGAAGGGCTGGTCAGAGGAAATGCAGGCCTCCCAGCTACATTCACATTTCAGATAAAAAACAAATGCCTTTGAGCATGGACATGTCCCATGCAATTAGAAAAAAAAATAATCATGTAAAGAAGCAGGGAAATAGAACCTTCAATGAGAAAAAAAATCAACCAATTGCAACTGATTCAGAGCTAATATAGAAACGAGAGTTGGGAAAGCAAACAGTAAAACAGAACTGTGTTGCATGTATTTAACCATAAGGAGAGCTTATATGATACTAGTAACCCGGTGCATGGATTCGTGCACATTGAAAGGAAATTACTTAGAAGGTGGCCAGTGGGGCGGGACACGCCCTGGAGCCAACCTCCCGCCATCCCTCCCCGGCCGGCTGCACCTGGGGTGGCGCCGTGGCTCGAAAGGCATCTGACGAATGAGCGGGATCCCTCCAGCAGGTGGGGTTCCTCGGCCTGGCCTGTGGGGATCGGGCCAAAACCGGCTCTCCGACATCCCCCGAGGGGTTCTGGGGTGCGAGAGGGCGCTCTGCAAAGTTGCTGTCGTACAGGGTGTGGAACGCAAACGCGAGTGAGCAGTAACCAGATTCAAGGCTGACAGTGCCCCAGCAACAACATAGCCCACGGCCAAAGGTGGAATCATGTGCTCCTGTGAGGAATCGGGCTCCCTCCTCTCTGGTTTCGGGGCACGTCACCCGAGAACTGCCATTGCCAAGTCACTGCAAGTAGGCAGCTCCTACATTGAGCGTCGGCCCGCTGGTGGTCAGTGCACATCATAGCAACTGATCGGACGGTAGGAGGGACATTTAGCATAATAGCCTTTTATATATATAGACTAGAGGCCCAGTGCAGGAAATTCATGCAAGGATAGGGTCCCTAGCGGCAGTTGGCTGCCAGCTGGGGCCTCCCTTCATTCCGCACTGCTCCCTGGTGGTCAGCACGCATCATAAGCAAGCGATCAAACTCCCAGTCAGTCAAACTCCCAAGGGGACACTTTGCATATTAGCCTTTTATATATATAGATAGCGAATTAGTAAATCAGATTTCTAGAGATGAGACTTGAATGTGTGAGATAAGCATGCTGGATGGGATTACAGATTGACATTAAAGAAAAGACTTATGAACTTAAAAACATCAATGGAAACTATCCAAAACAAGAAACAAGACAGAAAATCAATCAACAACAAAAATAAAACATCAATAAGATGTGGGAATTTTCAGGCCTCGTGGATTCAGGTCAGTGGGCTCCTTGAGGAAGAGCAGGGAGGGAGACAGAAAATTAATTGAATAAAATTTGATGAAGAGGAGGGGTGGAGCGGGCAATGGGGGGACATATGTAATACTTTCAACAATAAAGATTTATTTTTTAAAAATTTGATGAAAAGTCTAAACCCAAGAAGCTCTATGAGCTAAAGCATGAGAAGCATGAAGAAAACTATACGACAGGATCCTCATCCAATTGCTTAAAAATGGGCACAAAGAGAACATCTAAAAGCAGCCAGAGAAAAGGGAGCCACTGTGACCAGAGGCCCACAGACACCCTGACAGCAACCCTCCCGTCCAAATGGGAATTCCATCGTAAACACAGAGGATGATTTCTTGTTATTTGTATGTTTTTAAGGGGTAAGCGGCCATTTAAACAAAAGTAATAATGAATTGTGGGGTTCACACCTACATCACAGGAAACGCATCAGACGACAGCGCAGAGGCCTCGGAGAAGCGGAAGCTGTCTTTCCTGTGACGTGATGTGAGACACCTGGGACAGACCAAGGCAGCACGGCAGGTGTGCACGCCGCACCCCGCTGCTGAGACTTCCGGAGCGACACCGGGGGAGGTGGCGCAGTGAGGGCTGCGAGGACATCAAGCCACCCAGCCAAAGCCGGGGGATGGGCGTTTTGGCATAAATAAACAAATGATTCCAAAATTCACAGGGCAACGCAAAGATCCCAGAATAGCCAAACAACCTTGAAAAGCAGGCCACAGAGGCCCACGGGCCCCCTTCTGAGAGCTCTCACTCAGGCACAGGCTCGGCCCAGCCGCAGGGGAAGGGCACAGGGAAAGACAAGCCGGGCTTGGTGTCCTGCACCCCGGTGGGTCCGTGGGCCAGGACGAGCCGTGGCACGGGCACGGGCGGCATTCAGCAGCAGCACCGGGCCTGCCTGCTGAGCACGCCGGTGCCAGGTAAGCTCCTCTGGGGAAGGGATCCAGCCAAGAGTGAAGATGCAGAGCTGGCAAGTGGCCCAGGTTCTAAAGGCCAGGCCCGAGGGTCCCCACACCCACCCTGTCGGTCCTCAGACCCCAAAGGTCTGTCTGGGAGCCCATCCGGGCGCAGCCAGAGCCAGGCCGGGGCACGGCGAGGGGCACGGGGCCAGGCACTCAGGCCGAGCGTGGCTCCTGCCCCTGCTGCCAGGCTGTGTTGGTGGTTTCCCCAACGCTTCCGCTGCCCGTCTCCTGGACGGAGAAGCCAGTTCCCTCTTCCAGCTCCCAGAGTGGAAAACTACCAGCGCCCGTGGCCCAGGCCCAGGGGGCGCATCCCCGGCGCTGCATCCAGTGGGCTTGGCGGGCTGGCCTGGGAGGAGCAGCTGCCCAGGAGCCACGGCCGCGATGCTGCCAAGGTGGAAGCTCAAAGGGCTGCTTGTTGCTGCTGTTTACCGTCTGGCTGAGAGCCCCCGGCCTCGGCTCCCGCCAGTGAGAGTCCTGTTGCGCTTCCAGGAAAACGCCAGGTGCACATGAGGCCCCTCTGGGCACGAGGAGGACACGAGTGAACTCGGGGGGGGGAGGGGGGGGAACGCCCAAGATGGTCTGTGGGATGCCTGCAATCCTGAGCCTTCAGAGCCAGGAAGGGCCTCCAGGAGCCACACCCCTGTGATGGCCCCAAGTTAAATATCGGAGCCAGAGACGTAGGTTGACTGACCAAGGATGCAGCTGACTCATGTGACCAGGCCAGGCCCAGGTCTCCTGATCCCTGTGTCCTTGCTCTTCGACCCCAGGCTACCATTGTCTAGTTCAGTGATGGCGAACCTATGACACTCATTTTTTTGGTTGATTTTTCTTTGTTAAATGGAATTTAAATATATAAAATAAATATCAAAAATATAAATCTTTGTTTTACTATGGTTGCAAAGATCAAAAAAATTCTATATGTGACACGGCACCAGAGTTAAGTTAGGGTTTTTCAAAATGCTGACACGCCGAGCTCAAAAGGTTCGCCATCACTGGTCTAGTTCTTCCAAGTGCAGAAGGGACAGGATGCCCCAGTTAAAGAGGCTGCAGCAAGTGCCCACAGTCCACCTGCAGCTTCGCCAGGGAAGTATCAGGTCAGGCTCCACGCCACGGGAACCTGCCAGGGGCCGCGGACGATGACTGGGTTTGCTCCAGGCACAAGGAGCTGTTCTGCCAAGACCCCTTTTGCCTGCCTTGAAACTCCCCTTAGGAACTGCCCTCTGGGATTACAGTTTTCCTGGAAGACCCAGAACTCTCCAGAAATAATCCTGCTGAGCTCCCTGAGCACAGGGCACCGCGTGAGGGTCAGACAGGCGCATCCTCCCCCGTTAATGGAGTCAGAGGCTGCACGGTGAAACCACGCGCCTCGCCCGCCAGGAGGGAGCTGCGCCGGCGCAGAGCTGGCCGCTGGGAGCAGAAGCAGCCGGGAGTCGCCTGTGCTTAGCACCTGATGCCGCCGCTCTCCGCCTTGCCTTCCTCATCCGTACCAAGCGGGTGGTGGGGATCTGGTGGGGTCAGACAGAGCGGGTGCTCTGCGAGAAACGGGGCACTCGGGGACCGATGGGGGCCTTCCTGGTAGGCATGGCAGCCACTTCTCTAGCCTTGGAAGGTTGCTTGCCGTTTAATGGTGATAACAGTGCTTGGTTATAGGAATGCTGTGACACATATGAGTTAATATGTGCCAACTACTTAGAGACATGTCGTTTAATAAAAGTTAGGTATTATTTTTTTAGACTTTTTTTTATTGATTTCAAAGAGGAAGGGAGAGCAAGAGAGAGATAGAAACATCAACGATGAGAGAGAATTATTGGTCACTGCCTCCTGCACCCCCTGCTCTGGGGATCGAGCCTGCAACCCGGGCATGTGCTCTGACGGGGAATCGAACCTTGACTTCCTGGTTCATAGGTCAGCGCTCAACTGCTGAGCCACGCCAGCTGGGTGGTGTTATTTATTTTGTAATTATTTTCCCTCTGACACAGCTCAGAAAAAGATTGCAGCTGGCTTCCAAAGTTGTGTAAGATAC